ATCAATGTACTGCAGATGTTCTGGAGCCTCACCCTTTTCCAGGGCAGCCTGGATCAGTCCATGGCAGATGGTGGGGCTGTGCTTCCACCCCTGGGGCAGTCGGTTCCAGGTGTACTGCACTCCCCTCCACGTGAAGGCAAACTGAGGCCTGCATTCTGCTGCCAGAGGAATGGAGAAAAATGCATTGGCAATGTCAATAGTGGCGTACCACTTCGCTGCCTTGGACTCCAGCTCGTACTGGAGCTCCAGCATGTCCGGCACGGCAGCGCTCAGCGGTGGAGTCACTTCATTCAATGCACGATAGTCCACAGTCAATCTCCATTCTCCTTCAGATTTACGCACAGGCCAGATGGGGCTGTTGAAGGGTGAGTGGGTTTTGCTGACCACCCCTTGGCTCTCCAGCTCTCGGATCATCTTGTGGACGGGAATCACAGCATCTCGAGTTGTTCTATATTGTCGGCGGTGCACCGTTGAGGTGGCAATTGGTACTCGCTGTTCTTCCACTTTTAGGAGTCCTACTGCAGATGGGTTCTCTGACAGTCCAGGCAAAGTGTTCAATTGCTTGATGCCCTCTGTCTCTACAGCTGCTATCCCAAATGCCCACCTAAGCCCCTTTGGGTCCTTAAAATACCCACTTCGGAGGTAGTCTATGCCCAAAATGCATGGGGCCTCTGGGCCAGTCACAATGGGGTGTTTCTTCCACTCATTCCCAGTCAGGCTCACATCAGCTTCCACTAAAGTAAAGTCCTGTGATCCCCCTGTCACACCAGCAATAGAAACAGATTCTGCCCCTACATATCTTGATGGGATTAGGGTGCACTGTGCACCAGTGTCAACCAAGGCCTCATATTTTCGTGGTTCTGATGTGCCAGGCCAACGAATCCACACAGTCCAAAAGACACGGTTTTCCCTAGCCTCTACCTGGCTAGAGGCAGGGCCCCTCTAAGCCTGGTTATCCTTCTTTTCTTGGGTATATGTCTTGGAGGTTCCTTCAAGGGAGTCAGACATGTCATCATCATACTTGTCAGTTTGACTACAGGCTACTGGAGCGGCTTTCTTTTTGGTAGAGTATCCCCCCTGAGTCTTGCTGTCTTCCAATTCAAGCATCCGTTTTGCCAGAGCAGCAGTAGATTTTCCATCCCATCTTTTCATGTTTTCTCCACAGTCACGTAGGAAAAACCACAGCTCAGCTCGTAGCTTTTTCTCTCTATCTGGGGAACTTCTGCGTTGAGTACCAGGGCTCCTGGTCTGTACTGCCGAGACTGGAAGAAGGTCCTCCCTGAGTTTCTTGAGATTCTCCTCTATTTTGTTTTGGAAGTTTTGCATATCTGTTCTCACAGTTGCAATTGTTGCCTGCATGGGGCCATGCACGGTATCTGCATATGCTCGAAGCTTCTTCGCCATATCCAGCACAGTCTCCTCCCGGTCATCCCGCTTCATTGTTGCTAAAGCAGAAGCGTATTCTTGTGGCCCAAGTCGAACAAGTTTTCGCCACATCACAGATGTACATGGCACCAAGTCTGGATTTCTAGTACCTAAGTCACCCACAAAGACAATCTCTACTATTGCCATTTCTCTCAAACGCTGAATGCCTTGTTCTATGGTTTTCCAACGAGTTTGCTGTATATAGAGATCGTCTGCACACAGATATCTTTGTGCCACGCTTCTTAGGACCCGTTCCCAGAGACTATAAGGGTCAGCCCCCCTCATCATCTCCTGGTCAATAACCGGATCGTGTGACAGGGACCCCAGATGCCTCGCTTCAGTGCCATCCAGAACTGTAGCCTCACCTGCAGCATCCCACAGACGGACTAACCAACTAATTATAGATTCATCAGCTCGTCGAGTGTAATCTTTTCTCAGGCCACGAAGGTCCTTCAGGGAGAAAGGTTCACCAGTGCCTTCTGATTTTTGATCAGTTGCTGGTCTTGAGGGTCCTTCCCCCGCATCACCATTATCATCATCTACTGGCCGATCGGTTTTGGTTTTGAATTTCATGCCTCTCGTGGCAGGAGCAACAGACACTGGCTTAGGCTCACTGTCTGGTTTGGCTGCTGGCTTGGCTGCAGCCTGAGTGACTGGGGTAGCTGCTGATTTATCTGCCTGCCCTACAGTATCTAGCAGCGTGCGATAAGCATACGCTAGGGCCCAGCTTATTGCAATGATATTTTTCTTCTTAGAATCATCACAGCAATTCTCTTCCAGATATTTCCCTACTTCATCTGGGTTCTGAATTTGTTCACGTGAAAATTCCCAGGCTGGGGGATCAGAAAATTCCTTCAGAGTCCGGCCCATTCTCTCCCATTCTCTACACCACTCAGGATTTCCCACACCTGAGTCTACTTCTGGGGCAGGGGTCTCGTTGGCTCCTCTGGATATCTCAGCCCTCACTCTAGAGAAGTTGCAGACCATATAGAGGAAGCTCAACAGCTGAACTACCAGGAAAGTGACCAGGAATGTGGTATCCTTAACACTCAGGGGAAACTGGATATTCTCAAAGAGGGACATAACAGATTCAAAGGAGAAGAAGGAAAGAAAAGGCTGAAAAGCCTCATCCCCTGGTCTTCCTCTAACAAACTGTGTGCAATTACCAATAAACTCCCAAAATGTGCTACTGGGACTGGGAGGCAGGGTCGGGCGAAGAAACCATAAACCAAACATACCTGACAGAAACTTCAGTAGTTCTATAAACTTCCTATAAATCATTATCACCGAGCCCAGCACAATAACCATTCTAATCCGTGCCCCTCTACTGTGAAAGAGGGCAAAGACAGGTATTAAAACCTCAAAAACTTTTAGGGACCAGGTCCACATGAAGGCCTCCACCCCAAGAGACATTATGTATCCAAACAACATGGCTACTGACTGCTTTATCCCAATACAGAATAAATACAACCAACACTCAGTACAGGTTTTTCCACTTTCTCTTGCCCCTGTTCAGGCGCCAAAAAAAACTGTATTTGTCTTAGTTTAGGGCAAATTAGGAAGGAAAACTCCAAATGGGGATTTCCCCAGGGAAATGCCCCTCCCCACTAACTGGTCCGGGAAAAAGAAAAAATTCCTTAGAGAGAAGTGGAAAAAGCTGTTTATTTAACAGAAATTGAGTAATATTAAATAATAAAACCTCTTGCTGTTCGATGGGATGGCAAGTCTAGGAAAAAAAGTCCTTTTCATGTGGTGTAGCTCGGCTCGCTCAGGTTCTTATCAGTCCCTCCGGCGCTGGAAAGTGCCGAGGCCCAGGCCCCGGTGGGCCACAGGCGTGAGCTCCCGGGGTTTGGCTGGGTGTTCAGTCCAGAGCAGGCTTGCACAGATCCAAGAAAATTGGGAAAAAAACAAACAAAGGTCCAGGGAACTCCTCTGCCTCAGCTAGCTAGAACTAACTAGAAGCCAGAGAGAAGCTCTGTCCCGCTGTCTGTCCGTGCTGCAGACACCACAGTCCAGGAGCGGGATGTGTGGGAGTGATGTTTTTCCTTAACACAAACTGCGCGCTTCTTCTTCCCCCTCTCTTGCTCTCAAAGCCAGTCTTAAAGGTGCAGAACTTAATATATAACATAAACCAGACGATTGGGGATACCAGTATCATAAAGTCACCCCAGGACAGTAAAAATGTGCATTGTAATTTTAGAGCATTAGACAATGTTCTCCAGTGTCATAAGCTACACTATACAAGTCACAGCCTATATTTCATAAATTATCAGTTAATTGTGTTTACAATGCTGTCAGAAGCAAATCCTACACACTATAATAAAGTCTTTCCTTTTCTGATCAATGCGTTTTAAATATCAGGCAAGTTTAGTACACTTCAGATATTACCTTCTATCTGCCTTTGAATCTTGGCAGAGTACAGAGCTGCAAAGCACAACGTGACATTCTTGTGGGTCACTGTAAACGGAGAAGTGAGACACTCAGGAGTAAACATGTCACTGATTACATTGGGAAAAAGCTGGTAATTTAAGCCAGTGTCAGTCTGGCAATTATTAATCTAATGGTAGACAGAATCCTTTAGGGAGAGGGAAATTCTTCTACCAGCACAAAACTCATTCCAGAGGGTTATTTGAAGTTGGTGATAGTGCAGCTGGGTGGGGATGGGTGACCCCCACCTAAGATGGTCTGTGTCTCTGGATCTTCACAGCCACTGCCCATGGTAGAACATGTCCCACTCAGCCCCGGTTTTCCCACCAGCAGCTCTCTTCCTGGGGCTCTCCCAGTATGGACTGCTACGGAGATGCAATCCACTTACTGGAAATATTGAGGGATTTGGGATGAAAACGAGCCAAAAATCTGATTCCAAAGTGTCTAAATTCACATGTGTATACATAAATATAAAAATATATATGCATCTACATACATATAATATACATGTAGATTGTATAATACCAAATCATATAAAATTTAATATTAATATGGTTTTTATATATATACACACATGCTGCATATATGCATCTACATATATATATAACATATAGATGGGCATGTGTATATATATATATGTAGATTGTATAATACCCAGTTGTATAAAATATAATATTAACTGAGATATAGATATATATTTGTTTGTTTTGTTTTTATTTTTGTGTTTAGTTTGGGGGGGGTTGTTTGGGGTTTTGGGGGGTTTGTTTGGTTATTTTTGGTGTGTTTTAATTTTTTTTTCTTTTTCTTTTTTTTTTTTTACTGCATATTCCTTTCCACCCAAAGATTTACGCTTTCAGACGATCTTATTTACAGGGAACCCCCTCAGCAGTGCAGGGTGGAGTGAGTAAGGTCTGGCTGGAGCAGATAATTGCTCTGCCAGCAGCGATGGCTCTGGCCCCCGTCCAGCGAACAGAAATGGGTGGGCACGAGGGTCACTGCTTCACGTATGTGATAATCCCAAGGGGGGTCTCACAATTCAGCTCCTCGCCGCGTTCGTTGCATGCAAACCCTCTGCAGAGGCAGCTTTGCTTTCTCTTGGGGTTTATTTTTTTATATCAGCAAAGACAACCAGGAAGAAAAAAATATTGCATTAAAATTAGAACGGAGAGTCGACTGCTGGAGCGCTTTATTTTTTAGATTTTTTTTTTTTTTTTTAAAGCCTAATTCACCTTAAAGAATCTCAAAACCAGCCACAAGGGAAAGATTTGTGAGTTTTTGTAATGGAAAGCGGTAGCCTCTAGGGCCCAGAGGATATGCAGGGAGGCATTTTCTCCTGCTGGTGCAGCTGGGAGCGAGCGAGAGAGAGCGAGACCTGGAAATGAAAGTAAAGAGATCAGGAGGCACATGGAGGGAGCTGCAGGGGCAGCCGATCCAGAAGCAGAATGCTGCCTTCTATAATTAAATAGCACTTACTATTATTATTACTTCTAGTAATAATACATTAATAATATCTGTAGTAATACAATACCATTTATCAAGGAAAGTTTATACATAGTGTGGGGGGGAAAACCCGAGGAGAGGTGAGTTCTTTTATTATTATTTTGGGGGGATTATTTTTTGTCTTAAATCAATTCTGTGTGTGTTTGTGTATGTAGAAAGGGGTGGACTTGAGAAACAAGAAATTCTGGATGTTGCTTCATTAGAAAGTAAAGGTTTCAGATAGTAACTGCATAGATGAAAGGTTGTGTAATTGGAAATTTGATTTTGAAGCTAAACCCTCTTCCGCCAAAAATGTGGGGTTTGCAAAAAAAAAAAAAAAAGAAATATTGTCAAAGATCCTAATCCCACCCCCTGGAAAAATGTGGTAGTAGTCTAAAATTGCATAGCTAGGGGAAAAAACCCTGAGTTTACATGGAAAACTTAGTATTAATCGCGTTTGTGCCTGTGTTTTGTAGGTTCGGGATGTGTGTGCTGGTTTGTATTTAGACTGCAGTTTCCCCCTCTTGTTTGGTACAAACCCCATTAAACGGCAGAAAAGCCCTTTGGAATTTCTTTTTACATGGATCTTCCGTAGGGTCTTCTAAAGTTTCTCAAATAAGACTGTGTTTTGGTTTTGTTTGGGTTTCGTTTGTTTGTTTTTGTTTTAATTCTTTAATATTTTAGGCAGTTTCCGGGTGGCAGGGGACATTATGTGTTGGGGTTTTTTTTTTAATTTTTTTTTTCCTCTTAAAGCCGTCTCCCAGACTCTTGGAGATGCGTGATTTTTATTTCAGTGATGGGGGGTGGGGAAGGAGGAAGAGCATGTTTTGGTTTGTTTTCCTTTTCCCGGGGAAGCCTGGATGTCTCCTGCCGTGGGAGACCCTTCCCAGCAGGGCCGCGGTGTTGGGAGTGCCGGGGTGCCGGCGTTCGGCAGAGCCGCAGGGGTGCGGGAGGCGCCGCCGGCCGCTCTCCGCTCCAGCCGCCGAGGTGGCGCCTCTCCCGGCAGTGGCGTCTACGCAAGGCCGGGGATCGGCGGCCTAGTGCTAGCAGTGGGGGGAGGAGGCGAGCGAGGGTTCCCGCGCTATCCGCGTGGAAACCGGACCTGGGATTTAGTTTTTCAAATGAACCACGGGAGTGCGAGCTGGGTGGGCAGGAAACCAAGAGCAAGTTGCGTAGGGATAGGCAGCATCACCCCACAGCTCTGGCCTTGCTCCCTGGCTGCGCTGCAGTGGGGGCAGGAGGAAGGGTGGCCTGTGATATATGAAGGTGTTATGTGTGGAACACAAGGCTGGAGGGAATGGAAAATGAGGTAATGGGGGCTGTTGTGGTCAATTGAGGCTTTTAGCCCCCACCACCATCCCCCTCTCAGGGAAACTTAGAGTCACTGCGTTTATTTTCACTTGGGGGTGAGCTGGTTGTTGCTAACTTGCTATGCATTCAGTGGGTGCAGTGAATATTGCTGGGTGCAGCTGGTGGCACCCCAGTGACCCCAGTGATGCTGCAGAGCAGGAGTGGCACTAATGGGGTGCTGGAATGTGAGACGATGGCCATGAAAGTACCTTGGGGCAGCCGCTGCGTGGAGGGACAGAGGAGTCAGCCCTGGTGGGCACAACAGAGTGGTGGGGAATTCAAGAACGGTTGACTGTGAGAAGCAGCGAAACCCAGGGAGTGGGGCATGGCAGAGAGCAGCTGCAGGAGTGAGCAAGAGCCCAAGTTTGTAGTGGCTCTGCAGTTTGTCCTTCACTGATGTGTGCCCAGATAGCTGTTCCACTGTACCACTAAGGTGGCCAAACTGCAGGGAGTGAAAGACACCCATGTTTCAGACCAGTGTTTCCTGAAGCCTTTTTCCGGGGGAACTCCAGTCTCAGCTCTACAACATGACACTTGCATCTGAGCGTACTTATTTCTAGCTGAAATGTTACAGTCAATGCCTGGAAGTCAGTCAAATGTCAACTCATTGCCATCTCAGAAACACGGTATGAAAAACTTTGCCCAAATTCAGCTCTAGCAGGGTTATGAATAACAGCCATGTCCTTGGTAAGATAAATCAAAGTCTTTCTGTTCATCTTGTGTTTCTACCATCTACCCATCTAGAGGATATCTACCCAGTTTGAAGTTCAGTCACCCAGTTCACTGGCTCTTATTTCCTTTTGAAGGCAGTTCACTGGCTCATGCTTCCTTCTGATGCCTGTCTTGAAGCATTTTATTCCTGTCTGGGAAATGGTTTGTAATTTATTGACAAAGTTTGAATAAAGTTTTCTCTTGATGCTGAACCAGAGAGGATAAATGTCCCTGGACTGAAAGGATAAGAGCTTTGTAGTGGAGATATAAATACTCAGTATTTGAATGTTGCTGGTGATTTGAGTGGACATGTCTGGACAGAGAGGTTTGGTGGGGGGGAGAAAAGAAACACTTAGACACAGTGCTTCATAAAATGTTTTCTACTGTGTTTCTAAAAATATTTGAAAGACCAAGAAAACAAAAGCTAAACAAGCTTTCCACTTAAAATTAATTATGCAGTAGCTGTGGTATAGTGTGTGGCAGAACTGAAGTGTTGCTCATGTGGGTGGCTCACAGTGTGTTGGGTTTGCTGGTGTAACAAGTGCATGGCTTGGTCTGAATGTTAAATGAAACACTGTGAAGAGGCTGGAACCATGAGGGGAGACAGAAGTGGCTGAATTTACCGGTGAGGTGGTGGGGGAGGAGGTGTGAGGAGCAAAAGGGGGAGTGTGATTGGCAGCCTCCTGCAGTGGTTGGGACAGGCAGGACAGATGAGGGGTCTGCCACGCATGAAGGAGATTGATGGTGTGGAGTCACATAGAAGGAAAAAGGAAGGTAGTTGCTCCTGAGAGATGTGCAAGAAGTTGTTGAGCAGCAGCATATGGTGTGTGCTTTGAAGGTGTTGCCCATGAGAGGATGTCTTATGTGCAAAGTCATGACGTGAGCCTGGAGGTGTGACAGACCTTTAGCAGAAAACGCTGGTCACTCACTTGCAAGGAGGGAGGAATGTGGGACGGTACCAGGGAGCAACAGTCTAGAGGGGAGATCACGCTGGTGGTTTATATCTAGAGAAGGCAATGGAGGGTTTTGAGTTGAAGAACATTCACTCTGGAAGATGAGGGTAGAACTGCAGAGCGTTAAGAGCATGCAAGGCACAGAAGGTTGCCTTTTACGAGGGTTTTGTAGCAAGGATCAAACTGTAGCTGTGTGTTGTGGGGCTTAGAAGAACTGCAATAGGCTGGTCAGCCATCCACATGAAGCAAGGGTGGGAATATTCATGCTGGATACAGTGGCAATAGTGATGAGGAGAGAAAAAAACAGAAGGGGAGCTTTGGGGTGCAAGAAGGATTGGGTAACTCTAGAAAGGAGACATTCTGTAGCCATTCCCAGTAGTCCTTGGCTGCACTCCAGGTTTGGGTCAGTTATGTTTGAATGCCCTTTTCTCTGGGCAAGCAACAGTAATCAGCTCTCTCTGTAACACATTCTCACATCCTGCTGTGTAGATGTTTTAGCAGCGGGATCAGGGTAGCTGTGAGAATAGGTACTGATCTCTCCTTCACTCCTTGTGGAGTGTTTTGAAGGTTGAGCTCAGAAACAGAAGTAGGCCATGTGTATTGGAAGGTTTTCAAGGTGGTGATCTGTTTTGTGGATATACACAATTGTAAAGGTGCGCCACAGCATTTTTGGAATGCAGCCATTGACTTGGTGATGACCAGCCAGTGTTCAACTGCCGTCCCCACAGTCGCCAATAATCTCTCTTTTCATCAGATCCTGTGAGAAGCGGGCTGCTGCTTCACTTCCCTGACTTTGGTTCCTTCCAGCATGGCTCAGGGAGCAGCAAGAGCAGGGCTGCACCTCCAGGCAGGATAATCAAGTAGCTGAAGGTGATTGCAGTCACCAGCAATGCCCTCACTCATAGGGTACGGTCCCACCACACCTGAACAGTGTAGGCTGAACTAGATACCAATAGCAGTGGTCCATCAACAGTCCCAAAGAAGATGAGGTGCTGAATCTGGTCCAGGTCCAACCAGAAAGTCCAGCAGTAGGAGATGGTGCCAGAGACAGGACTGGAGACAAGCTGCCTGCAGTGGAAGTCTAAGGTTTGTCCCAGAGATAGAACTGAGGACAAATTCACCTAAGGCATTGCTCAGACAAGGCAGGACCTGGACCTCTGCTGAAATGGAGCTCCTAGACCTTGGACAGAGGGACATAGGTGGGGTCCAAGGTGAAGCTGTTTGGAGTACTTCAAGCCTTTTAGTGTATTCAGGGACCAGACAGCTAGAAATTTTTCCTTCCTCTCTGTGCTCTCCCCATGAGCCTTTGGGAGGGTCTGCTTGACTCTTTTGCCTCCTCTTCTCTCCCACAGTTTGTCTCTTGTCATTTCCTGTGGAGACTCTTTCCTCACTCTTGTCTCTGATAGCCCTGACAGTTCCCTACAGTGCTCTGGGGTGGCTCTGTCCTCTTTCATTTCTTCCACTGCTGCCTTTGTGGAAATGGTTCCTACTGCTCTTCTTCCATGTCTCTGTTCTTTCTTACTTCCTCTGTCTTTACAGAATTTCACACAAGGAGAAAAATTAAATGAATTACCACTCTCTCCTTGTCTGCCTCTCAAGCCTGTCTGTGAATCATTAAAAATCAATATATGATCATGGACAAAGACCTCTAACTAATTAAAGTTAGAAAGTGGTATGTTTATTTGCCAGTGGAGGGCATGGGAATTGTCTCCAAAAGGCATGACTGCCCCAAACAAGGTTCTTTTCCTTTTATTTATTTCCCAAGATCTTATATAAAATACGTGTGCATAACTCCAGCACTTCCCATCCCCATTCAGTATTAAAATGAGGCTATTAGTCCTTCACGTGCGCACAATTCTTCTCTTGAATTGGGTCAGTGGTCTCGAATTTTGTCAGTGGTCTCAAAGGATGAAGTCAGGAAAGTCTTCATCAGGTCTTTGTGACCCTCTGGCACGATCCAAAGCCCCTTGCTTCGTGATTGATTGCTATAGAGTCCAGGTGCTGGTCATTGTTCTCACTGCGTTCAGTCTGTTCTTATAACGGTTCACTTATTCCACTTTTTTATATAAACAAGTTCATAACAGCAAGCAATATAACAATTAGCTCTGGCTTAAGCATCTAATAGTCATTAATTACCATTTGCTTCTCTGACTTACATCTTCATTATTATAAATTGCTTCTAACTCTTAGGTAAAATCTTAACTCTTCAAAAATCATGATTCATCTGCCTGTATCACTAGTGATCATATTAACCTCACAATCTCCTTGTTAAATTTCCTTCTTTTTTCCTGATTGCTCATTATCCAGGATATTTATGAATCAATGCAGGCCTTCTGATGGTGCTGTACTGAAGTATATCAGCTCTTCTCCATCACTTCTGTTAAAAGCCTTTGTAGAGATGCTGATCATCCCTCACCTTGTCTGTTGCCTTTCCCTGTCTTGCTGCACTGTCCATCCTGTTCCAAGTTCAGCTGCTTAAAATCTCCTACCTGCTGCTTGAACCAGATTGCTCCCAAATTTACTGTCTGATGACTTAGAAATGGTACAGTGCCTCTTTCAAGCTCTTGCTTCCTTTTGCTGCCCCTTTCCCTCACTCCAGTCTTTTCCCCTTCCCCCAACTCTTCTTCTTGGTAAGGGGCAGGTATCAATTCTACCTTTTGCATGGCACAGAGCACAATCAATAAGGGCTTGCTGAGTTGTCAGGATTGATTTTTATGTAGTGTAAAGGCCCCTTCACCCTGTTCAGACTGAGTGTGTTATTGATACTGCAAAATATCTTAGAATGATAGGGATGGTCTTAATGTAAAAGGGAGCTGGATGATAATGATCTCCAAGTTGTTATAGTGTAGAGGTAGAGAAATTACTTTAGGATCTTTTCAGAGGCAATCCTGGGTTGGGAAGGTACAGGGTCTTCATCTCATTTCAGTGTTTCTGTAGTTGCTGTCTTTGTCCCCAAGTTTCTATTCCTCAAATACTGAGCACTATTTGTGGTCACAGCTGGTTGATGTGAACTTTGCTGTCACCAGCAACTCAGTTTTACCACAAAGTGCCATCCTTATTTTTTCTTGTGGACAGACCCATGTACCTTGGGGAATGGTCACTGGAGAGCCATTCCAAAATTTGCTTCCAAACTGCAGAGGATGAAGTGCAGATAACTCTTGAGCCTTCCTAAGGTGCTGCCCTTCCCAGTTTAAAACACTGCACAATAGGGCTCTGTTCCCTCTCCAAAGAAATGTTTCCCAGTCTGTGCTGCTCTTGCCTGCTGATTTCAGCATGAAATCACCATTGCATGGATTCACTGCTGTCCTTTTATGTGGACCACGGCAAGCAATTCCTTCTTCCTTTGCATCTCCCTTCATGCTGTACCTCCATAAACCTTATGTAGATAAGGTATGTTTCATAAGCTGTGCAGTAAACCAGTTTACATCTGTCCCAGATAAATAGTGGTCAGAATTGCTTATCATGGGAGGGTCTCGGCACAAATTCCTGAAATGACTGACAGTGCAGGCAAAGTTGGTGTTGGGTTTCTTCCCTTTCCTAGAAGGCAGTCCTGATAACAGTTGGTTTCCACTGCTTTATTTACTGGCAGCCTAAGCAGAGAGCTCAAATTGAAGTAATTCCTCTTTGTCCATGTATCCTGTCAGTGGCATGTGAGAAAAAGCAGATACTTGGTAGTGAGCTGCTGGTCGTGCTGTATCTGCAGTGTGGATAAATCATGGGCTTTGCCGTTCAGGGCATCTGGTCTGGAACATTTTGTTAGTAGTAAATTCAGGCACAAACAAAATACTGTGCTGTTTAATTGGCAGCAAGACCTAAAATGACTCACTTTGTGTTGTTTCTTTTTCTTCTTTCTCCACAGCAACTATAATGGAGAGGCAGAAGAGAAAACAAGAGATAGAGAAAGGACTTCAGTTCATTCAGTAAGTGGACAACCTCAGTGCTCCCTATGGATTTGGAGGCAGTCGTCTTTCTGTCGAGGATTGCAGGAACTGAGTTTTTCCTATTCACTGCTTTGGGTTTGCTGCATGGGAAAGAGATACTGTCTTGAGGATTTTAACTGTGATTTTTCAGGATGTTTCTTGTCCTGTTAGCTCTCTACATTTGAAATTCTGTCATTTTAATATCCTTTGGTTTTGCCCTTCCCTGCAATTCCAGGATGATCTTTACAGTCAGCATAACACTAATAGTACTTGGACCTTCTACATCATCTTCAGTATGAAGATCTCAGAAGTGCTCTTTCAACAAGGTTATCCCAACTTTGTTAGGAAGAGAGATAGTGTTTCAGTTCTGTAGGTGGGGAAACAAGGTACATGACTTGTTAGGCACCCCATATGGTGCCTATAGGGCAAGTAAATGACATGGATTCTTTTATAGCTGCCAACCTGGTGGATGTCTCAGATCGCTCTTCTATGAATATCATGTGGCCTTGTAGAGCTTGAAGTGGTTGCTTATTTAGTAGTTACAAATCCTAGTACTTCCTTATAAGATACCGTAGCATTTCTCCCTCCAGTGTTTGAGTTAGCAGAGGCCTCAAACTCAGGTCCAGGTTCCACGGTGAGTAAGGAAGCAGTAAGATTGTAAACAGATTGGTTTGGGGTTTTTTAAGGTCTGCTTTGAATCCTGCAATTATTATGCCTGAAATCTGTACCTCTACAGTAGGAAACCCCCTAGATCTTCCATGTTACATATTTGTATCCTGTAATTTGGCCATGAAATTTTCATCCCAGTCTGAGACTAAATAGGGCTGATAACCCAGTTTTGGAGAGATAATTTTGAGATTTATATTGGTAACGCTTATAAAAATGCACAAGATTCTGGGGAAGAAAATAATTAAGAAATATGAGGTGCAATTCATGCATCTGGGGCATATCTTGCACTCTGAACCAGGAACGGTGACATATGTTGGTTTGTTTTGATGCAAAAGAGGGAGTCCAAGTTTGTAAGCAGCATGAATGTTTCTTACGAAGCCATGACATTTCCTGTAGTTAGTTTTAAGGAGTGATTAGATGAAATCTAAAAAACGTTTTTTCAGTAACCAGTAAGATCATGTATGCACTGTAGGTGAGAAAAGCTATGAAAGATTCTAAGGATTCCTCCAGAGCTTATTGATTTGTCCTTGAAGAGAATAAATAAATATATGTGGACCAAGCCTGGATGAATTAGATGGTCCAATCTGAAGAACAGAACCTTTCTCTTAAATCTCAGTGCTGTTGTGGGGTAGGTGTTATCCTCACAAGCACTGCCAGAATTTGTGGCTCAGGCTTGGCTGAGAAGATTTGAGTTAAATGGTCTCCTGAACCTGCACTGTTTCCTCCCTTCCTTTTGTAGGGTAGGCCTAAAGGCATGTGGCTAAGTTAAGGCAGACAAAAGTGATTGCATTGATCTCTGTATGTCCCTGGTCTCACAAAGGATTTCGGGAGGTCTTGGAGTGCCAATCTGGTGCCTCTGGTGCCTCTCATTAGAGCCAGATGCACATAAAATACACTTGTATTCTTCATGACAGTCTCTCATGGGACTTTATTAAAGCTGGGTCTTTTAGGTGACTGTTGGAAGGCACATTACAGAGGATCAAGTATGTGCAGAAAATAAATGAGAATAAGACTCCTCTAGTCTCAAGTCCCTCTTAGCTGTGACCATCACTTGACACCACTGTGACTGTCACTGAGCATAATACTCCCTAACTGTTCTCTTTGCCTCAGCTGCTTTTGCAGTGATAAAATGTTCAGTAACTTATTGAGATCACCAACACATAACCAGAAAAATTTTCTCTTCATCAGACAAAAGCCCTTGTTTTCATGGATGCCTGTTTCATGAGTATTTTCCCTTCTTTTTCTTCAGGTCCACATTACCCCTAAGCCAAGAAGATTATGAGGTAATGGAGATTTTGTTTGTTGAAGCTGGGAGCCCTCTGGTTAGCAAGATTTGTTCTGTTGCACAGCCATTAGTTTACATGCCAAAAGTGAAGAATGTGGGAGGGTCTGTCACAATTTGACTGTGACTTAAAGTTTTAAGGTTCTGACGATGACAACTTTCAGGGAAAGGAGAAGACACTTGAGTGTTTGAGAAGAATGGGGATTTGACTGCATTATTCTCCTCTACCAAAAAACCTGATGTTTTACAGGAGAGTAGGGATGCAGAAGTACCTTTGTAGGCAAGCAGTTTGCTAAAAGATATGGAAAGGAATGGGAAATTGGGAAGTCTCCTGTCTCTGAATATCCACTTGAGTGTATTTTTTCTCTCCCTGCTGCCCAGGCCTTTTTGCAGAAGCTGGTGAGAAACTTGTTTGCAGAGGGCAATGATTTGTTCCGAGAGAAGGATTTCAAGCTTTCCCTGGTACAGTACGTAGAAGGGCTGAACGTGGCGGATTACGCAGCCTCCGACGAGGTGACCATCCCAAAGGAACTCCTCTGCAAGCTCCACGTCAACCGAGCTGCCTGCTACTTTGCCATGGTGAGTGCTTTCCCAAGTCATCCCCAGGAGCCAGGGTTGCAATGCTGTGCAGTTGGAAAAGATGTCAAGAAGTGTTTCAGCTGGTTTTGCCCACTCCCTGCTCAAACACTGGAGGAGACAACACCACACAGAAGAGTCTGCAATCTCCTCGCCATTACACTGTGTCTTGCAAGACCAGAGGAAGGATGTGAGGAGAGGGGGCCAGGCCTGAGGTACTGACAATGCAGTTCTGGTACTCAGTGGTGAGGAGTTAGTACCACCCAGTGTCTTCCAGTATTGAGCAAATATTTTTCTGGAATAATGTTTATTGCTCTGGAGGCTCTTGCCTCCTCCTTTGAGTCACTGGAAGACGGTAGGAAGGCTTTGGGTCTTGAAGGAACTTGCAGCATACATATGCGTACATATGGAAAAGGATCCTGAAATACCCAGGCTCTAAAAGGCTGCATGCTTCCATTTTATTAAGGCATGTAACAGCTTTCCTTTATGGCACAACCCTAGAGCAGGCCCATCCTGTTTGTAAGGACACTGAGTCCCCTGAAAATTAGCAAGCAGTCACATAATTAAAGACTTTCAAGTGTAACATGCTCAGGGTAGAAGGGGTAGAAGGGGAGACAAGATAAGGTTGCTCAAGCAGCCTTAGTTCTGTCATTCCTTGACTTTGAAATTGGGTTTTGCAAGATTTAACAAAATGTTCTGTTCGTGTAGGTGTGTTTGCACGCTGATCTGGGCATGAGGTAACATATGTACTTCCACTTGCCACTTGTATTCCTGTTTTCTGCTGAGAGGTAGAACATTTGCATTCACAGAGAAGGACAGGTTAGTCTGCTGTGCCTCAGCTGACTCCATGTGGTCTGTTCCATGCAGGGGTTGTATGAGAAGGCACTGGAAGACAGCGAGAAGGCTTTAAGTCTCGACAAGGAGAACATCCGAGCGCTATTCCGGAAAGCCCGTTCCTTAAATGAACTTGGAAGACACAAAGAAGCATATGAGTGCAACAGCCGATGCTTGCTGTCCCTCCCACATGTAAGTTTTTGACATACAAGTCATCTTGGCTTTTGTGGCTCAGAACCTTCCTCTCCTCAACATGCTTAGTGTGAAGCCAGGGGATAGTGGATGAGAAATATTGGCTGTGCCCAAGAAGACCCTTATGCCCAGAAATTCTGTCTCTCTGACATGATGTCCAGATGTTAGTCCTCACATGTTGCTTCAGGCCAAGTCACCTCTTGCAGATAGTGCCAGTCAGAGACACCAGTTAGTCACAGCAGGTTCATGGTCTGTTTGTGAATAGCAAACCCCTGCTCTAACAAGAGGAGAACTAAAGCCATGAGAATGTTTTAGTTGACTGCTTTTGTATCTCTAATGGAAGTGACTAGGAGCATGGGATAAATGGGAGCTGGAACTGAAAGGAAAACACCTATGGTTTTCCTGTGTTGGGTACAAGTGTCTCACATTTCACTTACTGATTGCTAAGGCCAAGTGATTTTTTGAGGAACACTCAAAGGTGTCCTTGACATCACATGGCATAGTTATTTTTGTGTTCAGGGATGTGTAAATTTTTGCATGCAGAGAGGACTATCTGCATATACTAGGAACTAAATATTTTCCTGATAGAGCTTTTGAACATCCTCTTAGGCCAGATATTGATCAGGAAAGCAAACTGTGATTACATGGATTCAAGTGAGCACTGTGCTGATCTTGGTTCTGATCCATCACAATAACGTTATCACAAGAAAAATGCATCCACCTTAGCAGGAGAAGTTAAGTTTCCTTTGTTATTAGTGTTACAGAAGCAATGTTTGAAAGCCTTATTAGCAATTAGTTATTCCTTTTGCATAGCTTGTAAATTCTAGCTTTTTTGACTTGGCAGAACAGGGTGACCAAAACATATTAAAGATATCATGCTTGGGGAGTGCCAAGGGATTGTTTTATAAAGAAACCCTTTGATTAACAAAAGTGTCTAATGTAGGTGTTCTTGTGAAGCTATATGTGGCTATATTTTACACTGCAGTTTAGCCACTTAATTTAATTTATATTTTAACTACATAGTTATGTTTACATAGCTCCCATTATTATCATTACTTTATCAAACTTCTCTGTGCCAGGAAAGTTCAGCCTAAAATACTCCACATTCAGTGGTCTGTGTTTCCTATTCTAAACAATTCAGTCTTGTAAATTAACACAAGCCATTATCTTACCACGTACTTAACAGAAATCATAAGCCTTCTCTGCATCAAAGGCAAGTCATGCTATCCATCATTTCCTTCTTGTTTCCATTACCCTCTGAAGCACATGGGTACTTCCATCTCTGCATTGCTGTAATTGCTGAGAGTTTTGTTGTGTTCAAAACAGAGCCTGTCTTAAAACTTATGGTGATAAAGGATCTGCTACTCATTTGGCTCACTGTCTATCAGGGTTACCTTATTTCTGGGTGCAGATGCTCAGTGCTGCACATTTGCAGAAGTTCTCAGTACGGTGAAGTTAATACTTCTCTGTGGTATGCTTGTGTTTGGTATGGCATGGGTGTTTTAGGAGAGGAAATGGACAAGCTAGATTTTGGATTCAGTGAGTTCAGTGAAGATGGTGCCAAGACTAATGTTGGGTGTTGATGAGTTGGGTGTTGGATGTTAATGAGGGTGTTGGGGGAGTGAGTACAACCAAGAAATGGCACTCGAGATTGAAGGGAGAAGTTACTGATATGGTGGGCTTGAAGAACCAGAGGCTTCTCAGCTGTTGAAAGGGAAAGGACTCAACCTGCAGGGAGAAGAAGATTGGAAAGACCAGCATGGAAAATAGAGAGAAAGAGGGCAAGCTTCAAGGTTGGAGATGAGGGGGGATATGTTGGATGATTAAGGAGGGCTAGCACAACAGGTTGGGCAGATATTTTTTTTTCTTTGAAAATACTGTTAAAGTGCTCAGATATTTTTGCAAACAGGGAGAGGAAAGCAGAAAGAAGCAGTTGCTGGTGATATATAACTGTAGAAGACTGTGGCAGGTTGTTAGTCTGGGCAGAAAGCCCATGGTGATGTGTGAGTGGGCATGGACACTGGGCAGGGAGGATGGTAAAATGCCACACAAGTAGGGAAAGCTGAAGGATCTGCTTGACTAAACTGAGGCAGTTTAACTGGAGCTGGAGACAGTCAAAATGCCTTCTAGCTAGTAGGTTGAAAACTGAGACTTGGTTTCAGCTTTAAAAACAAACAAGCAAAACAGGCTAGTGGGCACTGTCTGCATATCAAAAATGATTATTAACTCTGCAGCTGGCAGAGAGGGAAGACATGCAGGCTCCCTCCCAAGCATGGAGACCTTGTGGAAGCTGTATCAGCAGCCAGCCTTGGCAGCTCCTTCAGCCAGCTTGCCAGCAGGATTCCTAAACCCTGTTTTCACAGAGTAGGTACTTTGTTTGAAGCACATACTTGATTTTGATTTTCTACAGCTTTGACTGAGTGTAGGGCAAAACTCCTGGTGCAACTGCAGCATCTTGGCAAGACTGAATGACAAGAATGCTGAAGTCTGGACTCTGCTGGGACTGTTCTGGAAATTATCTACCTGCTGCTGTCTGAAGTTGAGGCTTCTTGGTGCAGCCCAATTTCCTGTATTCCTCTTTATTTCATTCTGTATGCCACAAAGGCAGAACTAAAAGTGTCCTGTCAATGGTTTTGTCTACAGGATGAAAGTGTCACACAGCTTGGACAGGAGCTTGCCCAGAAGCTGGGACTGAGGGTTCGAAAAGCATATAAAAGGCCTCAGGTATGACTTCTTTTGTCTTAAGGGCTGTCCTTTGCTTGTACAAATTTACTTTGGCAGAGGCGGTAGGTGCTGCTCTGCAGTTACAGACGTGTACACAACCCTGCAAACTCTAGCAGGCTGCTGGTAATCTTCCTTGTCCTGACCCTTTGACTCACTTTGCTTTGATCCGTATCTAACCCCATTGCTGCTCTGTGCCTGCTGCCAGGATGTTTCCTGAGTCCCCAGATGGTGCTGCAGGAGAAACTTCTGATGCAGTAGATGCCTACTGTCTTTTTTGCAGTAGAGGAACATTTGGCCTGATCCAAAAGCAGGTTTTGCATCACAGTTCTCTCCCTGTTATGCAATGAGAGGGATGGGGTCCTCTCCTGCATTGGAGGCATGGCTGGTTCTGTATGCAGTGGATTGTGAAGGATTCCTGCCCCATTTCTAGGTGTACACTTCTTTATGGTGGGGGAAAAGCTTGGCTTTGGGAGAACAACGGGTACACACCTGCTCAGAAGCTAATTGACACCAGTGACTGGATCCATAACTTGGCTCTACAAGGAAGTGCTGTAGGTGTTTAAATGTGTACCCTGAGATAGAGCTAGAGGGCGTTAGGCCACCGCTAGCCATAAAGCTGCTCTCCCATAAAGCTGCCTTGGTCACATACTTTGTTCTCAGGAGCAGAGAACACGAGATAGTAGTGGAGGCTGATGTTTGTGTTTGCATCCTGGGCCCCGAGCAAGGGGGTGTGTTAAACAAACAGCGTGTTCCATCTGCAGAGGGGCACCCTTGTAGCATGAGGTGGAGTGATTGGTGGGCATCGAGTTTGCAGAGAGCTTTTAGGGTAAATCTGGCTGTAATATGTTAATCCTCTCCCCAACAAACCTCATGTGTGATTTGCCTACCCTAAGAAGATTCCTTGATCTTGTAGCAGCTTTCCACAAATGATTCCATCTCAAAGAAATGGAAGTTTATGAGAAAATACTTTTTGTAGATGTTCACTGTGTTTGCCTTACCACCTTTTCTGCTGCTGTCATGTTACTCAGCTGAGATGGGCTTAGAGCACCTGTATGTTAGAAATATGAAAATTAAACATTCCATAATGCTTTTTATTATTTGAAATTCTGTGATTGGTATTTTGTTAACATTTTGTGATCTCTTGTATTGAGTTCCAGCTTTCACTCAAGTGCAATAATGCCTTCTCAAAGTAGAAATTTCTTAACGAGCAGCAAACCCATCTGTTTCTCAAGGAAGTTTTTTGCCTTCTGGTTGTGGGTCAGTGGGTTGTGGGTTCTGAGGTATACAGAGCAATTAAATGTCCCTTTTCAGTGTTGACAAACGTGTACTCCTGTGTCACAGTGGGGTAACATTTTGGGGTGGCTTTTATTTTTGGGCAGTGATTAGAAGGAAACCATATTGTGACCCAGCTTTACCTAGTTTATGAGCATTCATGGGCTGAATTCTGCTCTAAGACCTCACTCTTCCTTGCAGCAGGAATTGGAAACATTCTCACTACTCAGTAATGGCACGTCAATCAATTCATCAAACCAGGTAGAGTTTGCATCCTGTGATTGTTACTGTATATGGATTGTGCTACTAGAATGCTTTAAAGTTTGATTTACATGTAGATTTATAGCTGTTTTTTAGGTTTTAACTGTTTTAATTAGTGTTTTCTGCTTTTAAGGGATATGGCCAAGAAATTAATTTATTTGAAAATATTTCTATTGACATCATATTTTATGTTGGTAATTAGATCATAAAAGATGGTTATTTTTCTTAGTTATTATGAATGTTTGCTTTCTCTTGCATTTTAAATAAATTTTTGTTTTCAAGTTTTTCTAACAACAATGCTACGTAACAGTCAGAAAGTGCAACTGCTGAAGAAACAAATAAAATTAAATCCTGTGATGTACTGAGCAAGGTACATACACAGCTTATGTATTGTTTCTATTGTCCTGGGAGATCCAGCTGGGCAGGGCAGTGTACAAATACTAAGGTAAAATATAAGAAATTGCTGGTTTCCTTGTTCTACCACTGGGCAAAGAATCATCCCAGCAAACAAGCACTTGCTGTTTTTACAGGCTGTTTGGTACTTCATATTGCTCCTTAAAGCAAATAAACAATAAAACTGTAAACATTGTAATTTTGTGCAAGATGGAATATGAAAGAACTAGTTTACCTCTCACTGTTCAGTGATTTGGCTTCACATCTTTCCAGCAAGGCCAGTCAGCTTTCTTTAATAGTTGTGCCTAGTTTTTAATTTGAAAATCTTTTCCTTTTATAAGAACTGAAAATAGTGCAAACCTCACTGTAGTAGATGCAGTATCAGAAGCCAAATGCTTTACTTTACAGTGCCTTTTTAAGCTTAAGCTAAAGGCACATGTACTTACCTCTATTTATGTTTCTGTAAAATACGGACTCAATTTATTTCTTGCCTTGAGCTCCAAGTCAGCAGTTGTCTTGGCGGAAATGTTTTCCTGTTTTGAATTTGCTGTAGAAGTTTGTGGTTGTTAGATTGCAAAATATGTGAACTAAGAAAAGGAACGTTGTGTAAGATCAGGCTAATCAGATCTCCCATGCAGTGGGCTGACCAATTGGTGTGTCCTGGGACCTGGGACACAGTGTTCCCATCCACACATGAAATACCCTATTCTATGTATGGAGCTGCTCACAAGGTTGGATATTGTACAGGCATGGTTTTCTTTGCAGCAAAAGGGTTTGTCAGCTGCTGAAGGTAAACATTTATAGGTTCCTTGGATCAGTGAATCTCCTGAAGTTCATTTGCTTTATTGTTCCAGCACTGAAAGAGGCCATAAGAAAAAAAAAAGAGTCATGTGCATTCAGGAATAGTAAAGAGTCCCAGATGTGAAGTGTGGATGTCTGTTTAAAGATTTATTTCTCACAATATTTTTCCTCTCCCTTTTTCTACATCCTCTTTGCAGACTACTTCCAATGGATTGGGCTCAATAGATGACATTGAAGCAGGTAAAGACATCTCTCTCCTCAGAATTTTGTTGCTTCAATATGGTAGGTGACCAGGCTGGCAGGCGTGAGAGGTTCATCACCTGCATTTGTGTCTCTTCTGCACAATCACAGCTTTGGTAACTAGGAGAAGGAAAAAGCGGTGCAAAGCAGGAGTGATTTTCTTGCAAAAACAGCTTTTTGTCCAGGCCCAGTGAGAGACATGTCTGGGAGTCAGAAGGGTCTGCTGAGGTACACAGCTCTCTCCAGTTGTGTTTCCTTAAAGCTGCTCTTGGCAGAGCTTCTGAAACTCTGCTCCAAGGCAAAACAGTCCAGATAAAGTGAAGTTACGGTTGTTTGTGCTCTGAGTGCATATGGTCCTCCAACACACTGAGGTAGAGGAATTGAAAACAAAGGAGTTGGGAGGGACCCAGGGAGAGCCAAGTTCAGGGTTAGGCACCCAGGAGGAGACGAAGGAAGATTAACAGGGTTGCTTTTCTCACGCTGGGAAACAAGTGACCTTAACTCTGCCCCTGTAGAAGGGCTTGCTACCTTACCTGCTGGAGAACTGAACTTCTGCCTCTGAGCGCATCAGTCTTTGTTCCTTTGTAAGACAGCTCTGTGTGTGTGAAGGTAAGTGTGAGGACTTACCACCACAAGTAGCAATTGCTCTTTTTATAGAAAGAAACTAATTTTTTGATTAAGGTGCTTTGGAAAGCATGTTAGTTCTCTGTTGAATGCTGATTTATTATCTGCTTGGTACATGAGATAATGAGACCCAGTTCTGTGAATTAAGGAGAGTTTTTCACATTATCTTGCTGTGCTAAAATTAACTGGACTCCTACTACAGACTAATGAATTACCACATCCAGTAAGCTCTTTATCTAATCTGGATTTGGTGTAAGAGCAGCATGCCACCTTTGCTGCAGATCAGGCAGACAGAGCCTTTACTGCTAGAAAATCTTTGCAAAAGCACGGTAATTATGTGTTATCTGATTGCCCAGAGAGTGGTGTACCACGAGGATGGCTGTGGGTGCTGGGTACCCTGAGAGTTTCAGATTCAAAGATTTCTTTAGCAAGGGTTTTTGTGGTTGTTGTTTTATTTTAAGATGCAGACTCTTGAAGCCCTTTCCTCCATGTTTTGCTTGAAGTCATCTGATTAACTCAGCCAGTGCTGCAGAGAGACCATGGCTCAGATCTGGCTCAGTATGGCCATTGGCCAGCTAATGCACCAGGGAACCACTGGTGTTCTGGAGAACAGAGCTAGAAATAGTGCTTATAAAAGCTGTGTACTTCCCCCTTGGGGACAGGCAGGTGTATGGCCAGAGAAGTCACCAGCTGTGGGGGCTTGGTATGGGAGACTTGGTTCATGGGGATGTATGGACAAGCCCCTCGTTGACCTCATAATGATATGTGGGGCTGAGTGTGATGGCAGGGTCAGAAATCAGCAGGTGTGGGTCTGCCTGTGAGCTACTCATCAAAGAAAGCTGTTTTATTCTTTTAAGATGGAGCAAATGTTAGGGGAATGCAGAGGATGCATGAGCATTCTGTAAGGAGAATATGTGAGATGTGGGTATCACAGCTGGTCAGTGAGGTCAGCAGATCTGGTGTCCTGAGGAAAGCAGGAATAGGAAAGGAGAAATAGGAAAAGAGATTGGACAGAGTGGGAGGAGTGGCTGAAGGAATGACAGGGTTTGGGTGGTCAGGGCAGAGAGGAGTGGACATCTTCCCTCTTCCACTTACAAGTAGTGGAGCCTGTTGGTGCCTGCTCTTTTCCTTGCCCTTCACATGCACTGAGCTCTCGGTTATTGTCTGCCTTTTGGTCATGCATTCAGTGTTTCCAGGTTTGGGGCCTCTTAGGGTGTGTGAGGGCCTCTGTTCTTTGCTTCCCAGTCTGAGTGGAAAATGCAGGGCCTCATTCATTCCTCAGAGAAGGCCTGAACTGCTGGATCTTTTGGGGCCCTGTCATTGTGCACCCTTTTGCTCCCTGCTGCATGTGTCCCCATCCCTTCCGGCATGTTCTGAACTTCTTGTTGGCCTCTGTAGGGATCTTGTCAGTACTCCAGATTTAAACATCTGAAAAATGGGAAGGCACAAGCCATCCCTTTGTACTGCAGGGAATCTGGCCAAGCTTCCAGCCATGAGAAAAGCTGGAGAGCTGGCTCCCTGGCGGATGGGGGTTCTGCACCAAAGGGAGATGAGAGAAATCATTGCAAAGGGGGCATGGGGTTGGAGCCAAGGCAGATTGGTGGGCCAGCTGCAAAACTACTACTGATGCACAGCCTTCCTTTGAGTCGCTGCCTGTAGGAAATGCATTCAGCTGCAGCACCAAAATCCTGTGTTGGATCCCATAAGGTACACCATGTGGTTCCCTTCAGTGGCATGCTTGAGGACATGGAGACATGGACACTACCCCTGCTTTCCTTTCCCAGCACTTTCCTGCTTTTGTCATGGCTCAGCCTCCAGTGCCTTGCACAGTGACCTTTGCTGTGGTCCATCCACGTGGACCATTCACAACAAATACTGGAGGAAAGGTTGCAGGGGTTGGAGCTGTGCTCCTGGTGGGGTTAGAGATAAGGGGGCATGCCTGTGTTTGTCATCATGCCTGTTGTTTTGTTCAGGACTTGGGGGTTTACTGGAACTGCTAATTTGCTGAGCTCTCTAAGAAGGCACCAGCACATTCCTGGGCCAGCAAAAGAGCAGTTTGCAGCCAGTAACAGAGCGTACTCACCCAGTCCCTGATGCAGGGGGATGGCCAAGTTCTCGTGGGGGCTGAGTGAACAAATCTGGTACAGACAGGATGCAGCATTTCTTGCTGGATCAAGTTTTATATCTCTGAAGCTTGTCTAGTTTCTTTCCCAATTTTATCAGTCTTTCTAATAAAAGCTATTGTCTCTCCTTCCAAACTTTGCCTTGCTTTTATAGCCTTAGTCTGTTGCAGTTACAGTGCAGCTAATGGGATGTGGATGGAGAAGGTAGCATCTTTGTCTTATTTCTTTTCTTTTATTCCAGGACATCTGCACAGGGGCAGAATTAAGGTAGTTTGGGTGCTTGGTTTGAGAACTGCAAATGTAACACTGCATTTTCCAAATTTCTAACATTTGAACTTTTTTTTTAACACTTAATTTTTTTGAGAATAAAATGCTCTTCTGTGAAGAATATGTGCTTGCAACCTTAACTTCACTTAACAGAGGTTTATATTGCATGATGGGAATATCTTACTACTTCAGTAATGTACTGGAGAGGGGAAGAAACCTTAAGGAAAACCACCGCCTCTTTCCTGGCTCGACCCTGCCTCTCACGAGTTCCCAAGGGCACGTTTGCTGATCAGGTATTGAGGGGAGAAATGGATAGCAACCTCCCACTTTTGGACATCAGGAAGGATTCAGGAGCAGGGAATTTACTTGGCTAAAGACAACTAAAGCTTGAGTGAGTCTGATGGGGATTTTTGGGACAGATTGTTAGCACAACCTGATCTGACCACTCAATCTCTGACTCTCCTCCCAACAGGGCCTTGTGATTTTTATCTTCTTCTGTTTAGGATGCCTGGGTTTTTAGAGAGGGTGTGCAAGTAAGCAAGCTTTCAGCTGGGATATCAAAGCTCCATGAAGTAAAGAAGGCAGTGACCTCTGCCAAATGCATTAGTGAGGAACATTAAAGAAAATACCAGGTGGTGGGTTATAGAGAAATTGTATTATGTGCCCCTTTAGTCCTGGCCACAGTGAATTCAGTAACTGCTCAGCCACAGGTTTTTTGTTGTTCCTGGTTGCTGTACATGCTTGCCAAATCTTGACAGTCAGACTGGGCACTGGCCTTTAGAATGTATTTCAGCTACTGGTGAGCCTTAGAGCCTCTCCTCTCAGAAAAATTGGCATACTTGGTTTTTGTGATTTGATGGAGCTGCACAATATTGGTTTTACCATGTTGTGCTCTATTTGCCTCCTGCAAGAGGCTCTCCTGGTGACTGGCTCTGTTTCTCTCTCATCACAGACTGCTCTATGGACCTGCAGTGCCTCCCAGCTCCTGTGGCCACCTCCATCCCTGTGAATGAGGGGATGGCCCCTTTGCCCTCTGACTCAGATGCAAAGGGCTTGCCCACCTCACTTCCTGCTGCCAGCTTGCTCCCGTCTCCAGACTGTGTACCCTTGCCAGTGCCTGAGAACACGGAGGACTTCACAGATGGGGACATCATTGGGGAAGAGCTAGACTCCCTCCTGGATTCCCTTGCTGAAGGGTCACCATACCCTCTAGTAAGATAGGCACTGTGTGGGTCTGCTGTTTCTTTGTTCCAAATAGGTCCTTGGAGGTCCTTGGAGGATGAGGATGTGCATGCTGCCTCTCGTTCTCTTCCTGTCATTCTGTCATTCTTTTCTCCTATCTCTTCCTCTGGCAAAACTCACTTGTTCCTTCCTTTATTTCTGCTGCTGTGAGTATGTAGAGTCCTTCTCCAAGCCTGCTTTGCTGTGTGCAGCTTCAGAGAGATGCCTCTCAAAATACACCCAAGGTAGCCCTCCCCTGACGTTTCCTTCCATCTGGCCTCTCAGGTCTGTGCAGTTGAAGCAAGTCTGAGAGTAGAAATTAGTGTGGTGAAGCAGGAATGATGGATATATTTTATACAGTGGGCATGCTCTAATCTCCTTGTATTTTGTGCAGGTTGCACTCAGACTAAGCTTGTTGAACAGGTCTGGGAGCTGCATAGGCAATCTGTACTCATATTTATGTTGGATTTTAGTTGCCAGTGTTGCTTATGTTAGCCACCTTGGGTCTGGAGGCAGTGTAGTGATTTTCATATTGGAAAAGCCCTGATGAGAGGCACCATGGGTCATGGTCATTACCCTGGCCTTTGCACTGTGTGTACTTGTCTGCCTTGTTTCTCGACCTGAGCTGGTTTAAGTGCCCAGCGCAGGACACTGCCTTGCAGACTGATGAACTCAATCCAACACCTCCTCAGGGATCCTGGTCCAGACTGTTTGCAGTACAGAAAAACTGGAAGGTCTGTGGGAAGTCTGGAGGTGGATTGAGCTGCCTTTTGCTCCAGCTAGTACAACACGCCCTTCATTGGGAGCCTGTTGCTCTGTTGTCATGGTTTGGCCTCAGTCAGCAGCTAACTGCTCACTCACTTTCTTCCTGCCCCTTCCCCAGTGAGAATAATTGAAAAAACCCCAAACTTGTGGCTTAAGGTAACAGTTTAATAATTGAAACAAAATAAAATACAATATTAACAACAACAATAATAATAGAAAAAGAGAGAGAGGGAGGAATAAAACCCAAGAGAAGCAAGTGATGCACAGTACAATTGCTCACCACTTGATAACCAATGCCCAGCCTTCCTTGAGCAGCAGTTGGTGACCCTGACCAAATTCTCCCAGTTTGTATCCCAGACATGACATTCTATGGTATGGAATATCCCCTTGGCTTGTTCAGGTCAGCTGTCCTTGCCATGCTGTCCCCCATCTTCTTGTGCACCTGCTTGCTGGCAGAGCATGGGAAATGGAAAGTCCTTGACTTAGAGTAAGCACAACTTAGCAATAGCCAAAACATCAGTGTGTTATCAACAGTATTCTCATGCTAAATCCAAAACACAGCGCTGTACCAGCTACTAAGAAAATTAACTCTGTGCTGGCCAAAACCAGGACATCCCTTTTTAGTCTTTGCTCCTCAATACTAATTCTCTATTTATCCTCCTTCCTGCTCCCCTGAAGTCTCTGGTCCAGGGCACCATTCCTACCAACCTGCCAACAGAGATGCCCCAGTTGATTCCTGTGTTTCCGGGAGGAACTCCACTGCTGCCTCCAGTTGTGACAGCCAGCATTCCTGTCTCCACCCCTCTGCCACCTGCCTCCTTTGGCCTGGTAATGGATCCCACCAAGCAGCTCTCCTCCTCCTCTGTTCTGGATGCCTTCGAGGCCCCACAAGGAGGAAGTGGCGGCTCCACTTTAGATTCGCTGGATTCCCTGGATCTGCTTCCATACACAGATACACGGCTTGATGCCCTGGACTCCTTTGGGACAAGCAGGGGGTCACTGGATACCTTGGACTCCTTTACCATTGGTAAGTGCGGGTAGGTAGGGGTGATATGGTTTCGTGTTGCCTTAGCTGTGAATGCATGCCAAAATTATTTCCTTCAATGCTGAGGATGTCTGTCTTGTAGCTTTCTCTGCTGGTGTATATAACAGGAATATAAATGTAGAAGAGAGCAGGGAATTGTCTTGAACAGAGTAACTGATTATGTTTTGCTCAAAGGTAATGAGAAAAGCTGTAGGTTATGTAATCCTAGATAACCAGCATGGAGTGAAATCTAAAGAGGAGAAAGGAACACAGAGGTATATAATGATGAGAGATGAGATTTAAACATTGCTGGGTGTCCAGAACACCTCCCTTGGCATAATTTGCTGGACTATAGCATGACTCCTCCACCTTCCTCCTCAATGACTCTTTGACATCTTGCACAAAGTGAGCAGAGTGGTGATGACTGTTTTAGATGATACAGGACCTTGTTGTGCTGGGTATAATGGTAGAGGCCAAGGTGGGTGTTTCCCATCTCTGGATTCAGGGCAATGAGTGTCCTCTTGAATGGGGTTCTGAACTCTCATGGCACAAGGAGAAGATGGATGGTGGGCAAAGACTAAGTGCCCTCCTGTTCAGGAGGGAAGTGGGCTTCTTCTTGGTTAACTTATTCCCAGTATTGCAGTGTATTCACAGCAAAAGTATTTTGAGAACAGCAGAGATTGGCCAGTCAGCACTTGAACACTCACATTCACCTCAGCTTTGGGTTGCCATTTTAGAAATGTCAGTTCTCAGCAGCATAGAATCGGGTTCAGTAGGATTTCTGGGACAAGAAGTCTTTCCTGGAGTTTTTCCGAGTCTAGACAGATGCTTTGGAAAGTATTAAAACATTGTGAAATAAATAAAGCAAATTAGTTTAATTAGATGTTGTTTTTCCTTTTGTGAGTAGCACTGCTTCTGAGACTGAAATGATTGTTTTTGTTTTGTGGGGTTCTTCTTTCACCCAGAAGAAACTAGCTCTCAGGAACTGCGACACGCACCTGGCAGCCAAAAGCCAGCCCCAGCGGTGAGTGAGCTACTGCCCCATGCTGACATCCCGGGGTGCTCTGGAGCCAAGGTAGTAGTGGTGTTGGTAGTGGTCACTTGGGTCATGTAGTTAATTTGGGCCCCTCTTCTTACCCTGCCCTGCTGAGTGTTGCCTCTCATGTTGTGGCAAGGCAGGTAAAGGTTCCCACAGAGTCAGTAGGAAGACATTTGTTCCATCTTTGTTTTTATGCATAACTCCATATTGCCAAGGTAAGCATGGTTGTGACCAAGGTTGGAGGGTCAGCAGGGGATCATGGAGGCCAGGGTCCCACTGTATGTGGCAGCCACATAATGCTCAAGGATGGGGCAGAGTCAGCCAAGTTTGACTTCAGGCTACTGAAGTTCTTTGCTGCTCTCTGTCCCTGTCAGGAGGTTTCTCCAGATGTTCTGCCTCTGTTCTATGTCTCCAGTCTTGGAAAAAATGGGGAGGATTAGTTAGCTTGGAACAAAAGTTATTCTTGAGTTCCTCTTAGCTGCTGGCCCTGTTAACATCAATGTGAATATCCCTGAAGATTGACTGATAAGCAGTTTGGGTTTTTTCTTAGGTTGGGATATGGTTGATTTAAAAATCTTTCATTGCAGAGTAGATTGTGATGGAAGGAATGGGAAGGAGTGAGGAGGGCATTTTGTTTTGTGGCTCGTGATAGGAAACTGAGGTCTCTTACCAGTAAGAAAGAGGCCTATCTTAGAAGTGAAAACACCACAGTGTTCATTCTCCTTGGAAAAGTTGCATGCATCTCTTCTGGAAATGTCATTTCAGATGTGAACATTTTGATGAGAGAGGAAATGAGACAGGTTTTGAGAGACTGGAGCGGGGCAAGGGGTTAGAGAGGTTTCTTGCCCATGTGGCTGCAGAGCTGAACAGAGAGATGTGTGTGTGTTTTCACTCAGGTCAGCCTTGGTGGAGTGAGTCACCCAGCTGCACCCAAGGCCACCGAGCACCTGCTGTCCCAGCCAGAACCAGTAATGCCCAACACGGCTCTGCTGGTGAAGAACCCCTTGGCGTCTACTCATGTTTTCAAACAAGCCTGTCATATCTGCTACCCCAAAACAGGTGATGTATTTGCTCTGCTGGCACAGACTAGGAATTTGCTTTCCCCCGGCTGATGGGGTTATTCTCTCTGGCAGGGCCCAAGGCTGGCGATTACACCTATCGGGAAGGCTTGGAGCACAAGTGCAAGCGGGACATCCTGCTGGGCAGGCTAAAGAACTCAGAAGACAAGACCTGGAAGAGGATCCGTCCTCGCCCAACCAAAACCAACTTTGTAGGATCCTATTATCTGTGCAAAGGTGATCTGTGGCAGTTGGTCGCTGGGAAGGGGCTGTGCCAGGGGAGACTGGGAGGGAAATTCTGTTTGATATTGCCTACTGGCTGTGGGGGTCTTCTGTTCCATCAGTAGGATGGCTGTACAGTTCATGGACTGGATGGCTCAGTACAGTAAAGGGCAATGAGCTACCATGTTGTGGAGAGCAGGCAGCTTCTAAAGTGGTAGAGCAGAAGAGTTCCAAAGGCTTAGTGAGCTGCTGCACACAGTCGAGCACTCAGAGCTGTTCTGCTGACATGGGCTTTACTGAGAACCTGCCTCCTGTACATGTGCTCACATTAGTCCCACTCAACCCAACTGCCCCATGGCAGGGCTGTGGTTCTGCCTAGGGAAAAACATTTTCTGCTTGCTCCTTTGCTCCAGCCCATCCCACAGTACCCACAGACAGTGTGACCAGACTGGTATCCCGAGGCAGTGTCATTACAAAGTACTTAATGAGGTGGGGAGTTTGTAAGAGCCAAGCTAAAATGGTTTCTTACTGCTGGGCCTATGGGAGAACTTAATCTGTATTGGCTTTAGAAGGGGTTAGTTAAGTCATGATCTGTCCCTGGCCAGGCACTGAATTAAAGCTGGCCTCTAGTTTTGAGATGGTTTTCTCCATAGCAGCTTAACTGGAGATTGTCACCATTCAGTAGTTTGCATTAACTCCTGAATGTATTGATATAGGTGAACTTGGGAGGAGATATCTTTTCCTTTTTCTTTTAGCTCTCAATTTTTTTGCTTTCAGTTCCGTGTGAGGCATGGGCAGTGGGAGAAGACAAGAGAGAGTTTAGTTTCTGACTGGGCCGCCCTGCCTGTGTGGTGGTGTGTGCTCTTTGTTGCTTTGTAGATATGCTTAACAAGCAGGACTGTAAGTACGGGGATAACTGCACCTTCGCGTACCACCAGGAAGAGATCGACGTGTGGACGGAGGAGAGGAAGGGGACCCTCAACCGTGACCTCCTCTTTGACCCACTAGGTGGGATCAAGCAGAGCAGCCTCACAATTGCCAAGCTCCTCAAGGAACATCAGGGCATCTTCACCTTCCTCTGTGAGGTACAGAACTGGTGGGAGGGCACAGGCATCCACCATCTCTTCATATGTGTCTGGGCCACTGATCTGTTGGTAGTTGCCACCACGAAAATATGGTGGGATGACTGGAGTCAAAACTGGAGTGCTTACAACAGATGTCTGTAAACTCTTCAGGAAGGACAGGTGAGGAAGGAGAGGGAGTGGGGGAGCCCTGTGTGTTAGGGAGTGTTTTGACTGTCTAGAGTTTAACAGTGATGATGATGATAGAGTTGAGTGGTTATGGGTAGGAATTAGGGGAAGGCCGACAAGATGGGAGTCTTGTTACAGACCACCCAACCAGGGTGAAGAGGCAGACAAAATAATTCATAGGCAGATGGGATAAGTTTTGTAATTGTTGACCCTTTTTCTTGTGGGGGACTTCAACTTAGCAGATGTCTGCTTTAAGTACAACACAGCAGGGAGGAAACAGTCCAGGAGGTTCCTGGAGTGTGTGGAAGATAACTCCTGAGACAGCTGGTGAGGGAAACAGCTAGGGAAGGCATCCACTGGATCTGTTTGTGAACAGAGAAGGACTGGTGGGGGATAAAATGGTTGGAAGCCATCCTGGGCTCAGCAATCATGCAATGGCAGAGTTTTCAGTTCTTGGAGAAATAAGGAGAGGGGTCAGCAGAACTGCCACCTTGCCACTTCACCTTCTGAAGGGCAGACTTTAGTCTCCTTAGGAGCCTGGCTGACAAAGTAACTTGGGAGGCAGTCCTGAAGGGAAAAGGAGTCCAGGAATGTTGCACATCCTTCAAGAAAGAAATCTTAAAGGTGCAGGAGCAGGCCACCTGTAACACTGTGTGTCCCAGCCAGTGCCCTGCTCCCAGAAGGACAGTGAGCATTGTATGCACATGTGCAGGAGAAAGGAGTATTTTTCTTCCTTAGCCCTGCAGCTGAACCAGGTGCTCAAAGCCTCATGAGATCACCTGTCTCTTCCTCCATCTTGACATGTTGCTTTGAATTGTAATTTAGCCCCAGTTACTTTAGAAATCAGAATTCCATAATGCAATAAATTCCCACTTGATGTCTATGCAGAGCTACTGAGTCGGTCAGTTGAGAATTGCCTCATATCATCTTAATGCTCTGCAGCACAGAGTTCCCTATGTTGGCAGTGCATGTAAAGGGACGTGTGTTCTTTGCTGTGAAGTGGCTATTCTTTTATTTCTCCCTTGTTCTTGTTCTGTTGGGAAAGAATATGTGGCTCTGACCAAAATTTTTCCAGCCACAATGGAAAATACTGTTGAGAATAAGCCAAAAAATGTTGTCCAGAAGCTTTTCCAGAGATTGACTTGCTTTATTTTAAAGCTCTGCCACAAAGTTTTCACCAGACTTGTTTCTAACTTTGAACATTAGAATAGGCTGGCTCTGGTTCTTCTTCTTCTTCTTCCTCTAAGCGAAGTCGCTCTAGTTCACTGCTCTCTAAGATTTTCCCAGTACGCTAATTCTTCTCTTCTCAGATTTGCTTTGACAGCAAACCCCGGATTATCAGCAAAGGGACCAAGGACACACCATCTGTCTGCTCCAACCTTTCTGCAAAACACAGTTTCCATGACAACAAGTGAGTGAACAATTTTTTCTCCTGATGGGAGCCATCTCGCATAAGTCCAGCCAGTTTTACTCCAGGGCTCTGGTCTCTTTCTTCCTTTCCTCCCTACGGGTTCCAATCATAGGACAGCTCAAATCATAATAAATAGCACTATGGGCTTCACCCTGCATGTTTGCACCTGGTGCTGAGGGATTTCAGGCATCAGTAAAGCCCTTTGGAGTCAGTCTGTTAAGTTTTCCATTGACTTAATTTGCCTTTCAGTTTGGCCTTTACAAAAAGGTCAAAACAAAGATCCTCTAGCTCAGGATCCTGCCTCTGACTGTCTGGTAGTGAATGTTTAGGAGAACAGGTATAACAAACATGTCAAGTACATAGCCATACAATTTCTTCTGGTTCCTGGGAACCTCAGATGTGGGGAGATGCTGAACCTGTCATACCAACTCAGGGGAGTTGGTATCTTTGCTGCATTTTTTGAAATGTGTCTGATCTCTGAACTTAGAGCATCACCCATGTGCTGAGAGTAAGAATAACTACCCAGGCTTGATAGGGCAGGAGGGCAGGGGTTTGCTTTTCCCAGAGGGAACCTGTCTCTTCTGGAGTCAATTTGCATGTGTCCTTTTGCCTGCCCAGTCAAATGTCTGGATGTCATATGTAAGAAGGAGGTAGAGAGGGTTTGATCCTCTGGTGCTTTGTATTTTTCTGCAGGTGTCTGGTCCACATTGTGCGTTCCACCTCCCTGAAATATTCCAAGATCCGTCAGTTCCAGGAGCACTTCCAGTTTGACGTGTGTCGACATGAGGTGCGTTACGGCTGCCTGCGTGAGGACAGCTGCCACTTTGCTCACAGTTTCATTGAGCTCAAGGTCTGGCTGCTGCAGCAATATTCAGGTGAGTGTGACTTGGCTGGTATTTTGTATACCTGAATTTCTTCCAGTGTGTAACCAGGACCAGTTGAGAGGGGAAGAAGGTGATTTGGGAGTACTGAGAAGGTGTCACTCACTTGTGCATAGTACTTACTCTGCCTCCTCAGGGTCACAAAAAATAGGACCAAGGTCTTCTGTGAGGTGATTTGGCCCTTGTCCATTTACAGGAACAGGGTTGTTATGATTTTGAGACCAGAAGGCCTTTCCCTTGGGACCAGATGAATAAATTAAAATAATAATTAGGTAGAGCTCAATCCCAAGAAGTGTTTTGTGCTTAGATCTTGTGCAAATAGCAGTTGGACCCCAGAGTGAACATGTCTTGCAGTGAGAATGGCAGCATGCAGAGGTGACAAAGTAGTTGGTTATCTAGAGAAGGCTGTGGATCTCCAGTTTCTCAAAACCAATTCACCAACAGCAGGAAATTGCAAGATGTTTGGTGTTTCCCAAAAAGCCTTTGATGACATGCCTCAGAAGAGGGTTTTACAGAGATTATACTCAGGGAAATCATGTGGTGACACTGCCACATCTGGCACTTCCAGTTCTGTCTCTTTGTCTCTGATATATTGGAGTTTTTCTCTGGCTGCTGTCCTGTTGGCTGTGTAGATGCCAGTCCACCTGCAGTGCTACCTACATGTTTTTTCACCACAGGATCTCATTCAGTGCACCACCCAGCCTGGTAATGGGAGTACTTCAGAGAGGAAACACATTATGGATGTTTCTCACCATTCTTTGATGTCATAATTGATGTCCAGTGCAGTCCTTTGCCGTGGGTTCAGCTCATGAGGGACAGTGAGGAACAAATAGCATATTGTGGCAAATGCCATCTTTAATCTTTCCGTTTGCCTTCATTTAATTGTGGCCTCAGGAAATTAAAAAAATTACAGCTTGGAGTTTCTAAGATAGCACATTGCCTGTGAGCCATGGGCCGCCACTGCCCTGCATGCTTGTGATACTGCTCATTGTACTCTGGGTACTCTGATATTCAAGTGCCTTGCTTTTCTTCCCCATACCATGGTTGGTTTATTTTTGTTGTTTTGGTCTGATTTTGTTATTTGAAAGGTTTCTTTGCTCCCTTCTTCCTTCCCTCTGTGTTCCTTTCTCTTCATCCTGCAGAAGAAATAAACTGATTTTTTTCTTCTTGCCTTCTTTACATGAAGAAATGATTTCAAATGATTTTTCAAGCATGCAGAGCTGATCATCAAGCCTTGTGCCTACTTCCACCTTTTCCAACAATAGGAGAGATATTATCTTGTGGGTTTTTTTTTCTGCAGGGCTCTATATATGAGCCTGCTTTCCTTGAGAGTTTGCCTCTCCCAGGTGTAGTGCCTTCATTATGGAAACTGAAATTAAAGGTAGTTGTTGCCATTCTCTGGGAATGCTTTAGCTTTGGAGCAGGAAGTTTCATTTGGGCATTATTTTCTCAGCAAGAACAGGAGGAAGGCAGCTTACATTTGAAACACTTCACAGCTATTTGAGCATTTACAGAGCTTTTGGCTTTGTTCATGGGAATAAAGGATTGTATTAGTGGAGTAAAGGTTCCCAAGATCTGAGAATTGGACAGGCAGGACTATTTTCTTGTTCACTGTGGCTTTTCACAGACATCTCTTGCTATCTTCTTCCACTAGTGGTAATAACAGACTCTTTGTCTTCACTAATGATGTTGCAAAAGATGCTGAAATATTAAAAGTAATCAACACATAGGCCTTTTGGTTCCCAGCTCATTTCTTTGTGACGGTTCATGCTTTGAAAAGCTGATAGATTGGAAACCATCCTTTCCCATTTGGGAGGGTTTTTCTTTCCCAATCACCACATTTCTAGACTGTATTGTTGAAATAGTTCAGAATTCTGGAACTGGAAGAAGGCAGTCACAAGAACTACGTTTGAAATTCAGTCATGAATTTTGAAATTTCACATTTGAAATACAGACAAAACCTGTATATGCTTCTCCCTTTGGTTCTGCACCCCAAGGATCGCAGGTGTGTGGAATGGAGAAGGTGGGAGCCGCTTCAGCCCTTTCCCTGCCATGTTCAGTGCAGCATGTTAACTTTTTGTTGTGATTTTCCTAGCTTTCCAGAGCTTTTGTCTGTAAAATACAAATCATCATTGTGTCCAACCCTGGAATACTTGGACATGGGAGAGGGAATTGCAGTTTTTCTGACTCTACACCATTTCTTCTGGAATTAATGGTTAAGAGGTAGAATATTCACCAACAGCTCTGATCTGTGAGCAGTACCAGTTATGCAGTAGCTGCCATTTTAAAGACCTGAGCAAATGTTCTTGAAGAACGGTGAAGTTTTCTGAGTGCTTTTCATCCTGTTCAAGCCCTGTGCAAATGGCAGCAGTGTTGCCTGATGAGGACATGAACAGCCAAAATCAGACAGGAAAACTGAGGTCAGGAATGCTGTGATTTACCCAAGGTACACACAGCCTAAGCTGATATGAAAACTTTGGTGGCCCTTAAGTTCTGGAACGTGCTGTCTCCCAGATCAAAGATTGTGTTTATGTAATACTCCTGGGGAACACCTCACTTCAGTAATAAAAGGCATCAGCAAAGCAATCAAATTTGCAATGTCTGTGTCCTGGGGATACTGCATCAAGACCATCCTCAGAACCCTCCTTGTTGCAATCAGCTGCCTGTGCAAGATACTTGCTTCAGTTTGTTTTGGCGTCTGTCTTGGCTTTTTAGAGCACTTAATAACTTGAATACCCATCTAGCTGGCTGGTGCTAACAGAGGCTGTTCCCTCACCACTTGAGCTGGTCAGGAGCTAATTCCTTAGATAAGGTCTGACCAATCCTTTTTCTTGTTGTCTGATGTTGTATTTCCGATATCTGAGACCTTTCAGGTTTTTCCTTGCTGGTTATCTACTAGCAGCTGTTCCTTGGTTGGTTTTGCACTGCTGGTCTTTTCTTGCTGCCTTGGTTGTGCTTGGTGTCTATGTGTGTTGAATTTCAAATTTTCTCTGCCTATTGATTGATGGGGAGCCCTCTCAACTTGAAGGTGTAACAGGCTAATTAATCCCAGCAGGTAATAGGTGAGACTTCTGGGGTCTTGGAGATGCTAGATGTCTCAGTGGGTATCTGTGATCTTCCAAGCTAGAAGCAAAAACTCCAAATATAGTAGATCAATGGTAACAAAGCATTGCCTTTAGGATCTTGGTAGAATCTGTTGATACAGAGTTGGGGTCAGCCTTGGTCAAGTTCTTGACCCTTATGAAGAATTATTGGCTTGGAAGCAGTGTCTGGGTCCTTTGCAGACTGCCTAAGCAGAAGGCCAGGTCTGAACAAGCCCAGGATACCGAACTCTTCTCCTTTTGTTTGACTTGTGTAGAGTGGAGCTTCCATAGCAAGGCATTAGACATGTTCTGTGGTGAGTTCTGTCACAACTTAGTCCTGACATTACCAGGAGCTGGGAGCTGTCAGCTACTCAGGGGTTACTTACCCCAAACTAAAAAGTCTTATAACCCCTCCCTCTCTTCTCTTGGCCAAGGGAGTGTAGCTCAGTTCTGTCTCCTTTTTGCTCCCAGGAATGACCCACGAAGATATCGTGCAGGAGTCTAAGAAGTACTGGCAACAGATGGAGGCACATGCCAGCAAACCAGCCAACAGCGTGGTAAGTAAGGTCCACCTAGGGCTTGGAGCCAGATTTTGCTCCCAACAGTTCCAGCCCTTTCTCTCTTTTCCTCCCACTATTGTACCTGACAGGTGCCAGGCGGAGCAGGCTGGCCATTGAGGTGGAGGAGAGCTGAGAGCTTTCCTGCTTGCAGTGCTGGTGTTGAGCTTTGTGCCTTATTTTGCAGTGTTATTATCTGCTCTGTTTCCCTGCTAGGGTGAAGCCTCCAGGTCACTGAGGGCAGCACACACAAGAATGGTGTTTCCTGTGACACCTTGCTGGTGATACTGGGAGATATTGGGGCAGTCGCCACACAGTGGGGACCAAATGTGTCCTGCTGCCCTTTAGTGGCCAAGGGACGGTAGAGCAGTTTGAAGGACTTCTGAGGAATGACTCATGACCTACAGAACTGATCTAAACACAAGAGTGGGTGGAACTGGCAGCCCAGGTGCTGTTGAGGCTGACAGAGACCTTAGTGGTGCTTTACCAGGAGGAGACTGGGAGATTTGCCTTTTCTTTACTACCAGTCTTTCAGTGTGGAGGGCTGCACCCTCCAGCACTTCCAAGAGCATACCAGGGTAGTGTGAGAGGGGTTACAAGCAAAGGGTTCTTCCTTTGTTTACTTTCCTGTGTCTTGTTGGCTATGGGCAGTGCTGTCGTATCCTTTTTTTTTTTTAACCCCAGAGGGGATTTCTGTACTGTAGGAGCAGAGCCCACCCCATGAGGACAATTCACAGCCCAGTCCTGAGGTTGAACTAAAGCAGTTTTTGCCATTAGAACAGGAGAATGGTTGGGAAAGTGGTGTAAATCCTTTTTGTTCCCACTTGGCAACTTTCTTTAACCTTGGTGGACCTGAACTTGCCATCCCTTGGCCTGTGCCTTAGTGTCCAAGCAAGAGTGTTTCACCTTTGTGTGGGATCTGTCACCCTGGAGCTTCCTCTGCAGAGACCAGTGCTGAGTACAGTCTGTGAGCACCCTGTGGAAGAGGTGTTTTTTGGGCGAGAAATGTGAGTCACTCATGCGATGTTTAGCCGCTGGTTTTTGTCTTGGTTGTGTGCCAACAAAAGTGTTCCGAAGGCTGTAGGGCACTGATGGTGGGGAAGCATCAGTGGAAAGGTCTGATGGGCATAGTTTAGCCTAACAGAAAAGATGTAGGTGACTGCACTGACACTTGCAGTGGGTTCTGTGTCCAACTATGCACTGGTTATGCTGCATGAGATGGATTCATCTTTGAGGGGATGCTCAGTTCTAAACCTGTGCAGCTGTTGTGGTCTGAAATGGTTGGAAGAGAAGAATGGCAAGCAGCAGTCCAGGATAACCAAGGTCTCTAGTTCCCAGAACTATCTGATTTGCTTAAGGAATACGTTCTAGCCTCTCAGGAAGCTGAGCAGGACAAGTTTCTACATCCTGTATTATATGCAAAGTGGATGATCTGAATGGTCCCTGCAACCAGAGCTGGTTGTGATTTCTTCTGCCTTGTGTGAGGACAGAGGCAGTGGCCTGCATCTCCACATGGGAGGAAACTAAATGTGATTTTGCAGCAGTTTGTGACAGCAGTTGGATTTATATCAGCAATCCCTGCTCCATATGTGCTTTGCCCCAAGAGCACAGTCCAGAGATTGGTTCTGTCCTGCTTGCTGTGAATTTACCTGCATTTTCAAGAAAGCTCGGTCTTACCATTCTCTGTGTATAATGAGGGGATTAAAAAAAAGGTTAATGGACAGCTGTTTTCCTGTAAGCCTTGTGGCTTCAAATTCACCTTTGTCTGGAGGTGCTGCTGCTGGAAGAATAAGCTGTACAACAGGCATGGTCAGAGCATGTCCTCTGAAGCACATGGGATCTGGATGCTAAGTGAGGGTTCCATTTCTGGCTGCTGGGGCTTGCAGGGGGCAGAGGATCAGGAAATTAAATGCTAAAGCCTGCTACATCAGGGGATGGGCAGAGAGCTACAGTTTCTGGACCCTATGGGCAGTGCTGGGGCTAGTGACCAGTGGCAAAGTCTGCCTGTGCCCCACAGATGCCTGTCACAGAGCTGGACTGCACCCACCACCCTTCCAGGGTGCAGAGGCAAAGCAGCAGTCATATTGGTACAGTGAGAAAGTGCCTACCAGCAGCACCACCAGCCATCTGTAAGGATTGGCAGCCTGGCATTGGCACTGGCACTGTGCAGGGGGACAGTCAAGTCAGTCAGATGCATGTGTTTGCAGTAGCACACCATGGCTTTGGCAACAGCAGAGAGGGCTGTACTTTGGGATGAGACTCTGGCTTGCTGCCGAAGACCCTGCGGGCAGGACTAGCTATCTGTTGAGAGATGTTTACTTTTGCCATTGTTTTCTCCTGTCCAAGCAGGCTAACGTGACTCAGAGTTTTCTCAGTGTCCCTCCAGCTTTCAAAATTGGCTGCCTGGCAAAGACAACTTCCCAGGAGTGCTGTAAAAACAGACCCCTCCTTCCCACCATCCCGTGTGATCCACTCTCACTCCAGGTCCCTTTGGTCAGCGGAAGCAAAGTTGCTCTGGGGGATTTTGCTGCACTTTTTGTTCAGCTGCCAGCTGGACTTAGCACCTGGGGCTGCCCAGTTGTGGAGAAAAGAGGCAGGCAGCAAGCAGGGGCCCAGTAGCTGTGACAGTGAAAGTCAGGAGGCTTAGCAAGAAATGAAAAATGAAGATACACTGCTTGCCAGTGTACACTTGGTCCCACAAATTTGGCCTCACAGAAGCTTCTGTAGGAGTAAACCCAGTGGCCACAGATTGAAGAGCCAGTCAGCAGGAGGGGCTGCTGTAGGGAGCTGGGTACCCTCCCATTGCATCCCTGCAAATAGAGGGGTTGTAGCCCTCATTTTTTCTGTTTTTCAAGAGCAGTTTTGTTTTTATTCCCTTAGCCAGCACCAGAACCCCCATGAAAGCTGACCCCAGAATTATCAATTTAAGCATGGAGAAGGAAAAATGTCTCCATTAAGGAGTACTTACACCTAAGTACTGCTCACTCAGGTGGCTGAGTAACCTGGGCTCCTCATATAGTCCCCTGAGGCATGTGGCTCCTCCAGAGAACATTTCAGTATTGCTGAGAGGAGTTCCTGAAGCTGGGAGACATAAGTGGCCATGTGCAGGGTCTGTTGCTTTCTGCAGAGCCTGAAGTGGAGAGCTGTCGTGCCAGAGACTTATATTTATTTGGTTGCCATGGTGCATAGCTAGCACTATATTGTCTGGCTTCATAGCAAGGGGTGGTGCCATAGCCCACGGCACTTTTGCCTAGCTTCGTCTGCTAGAACCTCATGTGATATAATTTCCACGCTGTTGGGTATCAGCAGCCTGCCAGGTATGTGTCTTGCCTTTACAAATACAGTCATGTAGCATTAACAGCAGCCACTTTGATTTTTTGCTTGGCTCCTAATCCCCTGGGAAGCATGCATGCCCACTGGTTTGACCAGCAGTTTGCATGACTCAGATGAAGAAATGCACGGGGCTTCTTTTGGTTAAGAATCTGCGGAAAAAGCAGCCCAGATTACCACAACTACCTGAGACATATTTTCTTTCTCTCTGATCTCTTGTCCCTTCTGGAGACAGTGTTTAGTTTTGCTGGGTCAGAAGGTTTGAGCAAAGCTTCCTGTCTGTGCTGAGAGATATGTCACCAGGAGGATAGCATGGGATTGACAAAAGGCAATACACCAGCAGTGCCATTTTGTTAGCATGGGCCTATAGGTTTGATAGGTCAGTAGTGAGCTGTAGTGGAATTTCCTTTGGAGACCAAGTGGAGATTAAAGCTACTGTTCAAAGGCCACATAGCTGAAAGGGAGGCACTTTATTGCCTTCCATGGTAGTCTAGATCTCAACTCTGCTCATCCCACAGCCAGCTACTTTGATGAGTTCTTGGTGGTCACCAACACAGGTGACATCTGACAGCTGTCATCACAGCAAGTGATAAACAAGTCATGTGCTGGGAGCCACCAGAAGGGTCATTCTCACAGACAAGTAGGCCAGAATCGCTGCTGTTTTTCAAAAGAGATGCTGGTTCTCTCAGAGGGTCCTTTTGCAGGGACATCAGAGAACTGATGGCTTCATGTAGGCAGCACAGGCAAGGTTAGCTCCCCAGTCAGATTTTCACAGTGACGGAACCCTTTATATGTCACCTCTGGTTCTCCAAAAGACTAGGTCTGGAGAATGCAGAGTGTTAGTTGATAGCTGATGTGGCATCTCCTGGGAAATGCTTCGATTCTGTGTTGTCTGTACTTGCTGTTTTCCCTTCACCAAGGGATGCAGCCAGGATCCATGCTGTTGCTAATCAGTTGCTGGCAGAAACCTGCTCTTCAGGGACACGGCTTGCATGTCTGGTTATTGTGAGATGCTCGGGGTTAAAGTCAAGGCATGGTAGGTGGGACAGGCTGCTGATGTGGCTGACAGTCAGAGAATTGCTTTGCTGGTGCGTGACCTTTGTGCTTCATGGCCAGCTCGATGACCAGGGTGTTCTCTTGTACTCTCACATATTCCTGTGCCCAGGGCCACTGGCATCCAGTCAGGTTTGTTTTTCAGTTTGGAAATGAACTGGAGACACCAGCCTCATCTTCTTCCAGCGGTGATATAGAATGCAAACAGTTTTCCAGATATTTTCTCAGAAAACATGAGGCAGCAGTGATATGAGATTGGGTCCCTTTTTCCTATCTTCACAATCTGTCAGTCATAATCCCAAACCAGTTTTCTCAGGTGGGATGGGGGCAATAATAAGTGGAATGGCTGAGAAGATATGAAATATGTGCATTATACCTCTGTCCAGAGACTATGATTTAACTGCTTGGGAAACCCAGTACAGAGGAACTGTGAGAGATGGAAACCTGCCCAGAAAAGGCTTGAAAGGATATCAACAAGAGGACCCAGCTCTGACTTCATTGTGTCAAATGTTAGGTGCGACATGAGGTTCTTGGTCCAAAAGCAGGAGTTTTGGGTCCTGCATTGTGATATGGTCCCACTTCCTCCCAAGGGGGCTCTCTCTGTGTGACCAAGCGCTCTCCACAGGTGGAGTGGGACATGGATTGCCCTCCCCACAGGGAAGTGGGGCTTAAGCTCTGGGGCAGGTCTCACAGAGCTTGTCTGTATGCAGATACACACTGCAGAGGTTTCATAGCCAGGCCTGGTCAGTGCTGGAAGCTGCCAGGCTGTCTGTACTTTTGGCCAGATGTCAAAGCCCAGGAAATCATGCTGAAGCAAGCAGTGGTTTTGCTCTTGTCCGGTATCTCATCGGGCCACCAGCTAACACTGGCAAAGGAGAGCTGATTTAATCTGGCTTGTAGCTGGCACACAGGCATGTGGGGAACTGCCAGCATCTCTGTGGCAGGTTTGGGGGCTGCATTTTGCCTCTGTTCACTTGAGGCTGTGGTTCTTTTCCCCAGGCTTCTCCCCGGACTCCCACGTCAAGCACCTTTGACCTCCAGATGAAATTTGTGTGTGGCCAGTGCTGGAGGAACGGGCAGCTGGTGGAGCCAGATAAAGACCTCAAGTACTGTAGTGCCAAAGCCCCCCACTGGTGAGCAATTCAACCTTCTCTTTCCTCTACCCCTCTTCAAGGGCAGGAATTTTTCATCCTACCTTCTCCAGGGCTTCATTTGGCATCTTTGGAAGAGGCTGTAAGGTTTCCTAGCAGCCTCTCATTGCTCAGGGTGTTCATCACTATAGCAGGCATTGCAGATAGCTGTTTTCCAGTTTCCTTCTCTCTTTACTGTGTGTATTTGCTGCCAGCATCATGCAGACTGTTACTCCTGGCACAGGCAGTCCAGCTCCCACAATTCCCTTTTCTCCCAGTTCCTATCATTTCTTCTTACCAAGAGTACAAAGAGCGTTCTTCTCTGCAGTGTTTATACTCCTAGCTGTTTGCATATGTATGTCAGGTCACAATTAACAATGATTCAAGATATTCTGCTTCCTTTTAAATTAGTTTCCCTTGGCTCTTTCATTGCTTTGGTTGCTCCTCTGTGATGCATGTCATGTCTGTTTGCACCTCTTGACTCCTTGGGGCCCATGAGAATGGTGTGATAGAAGCATTGAATCATAGAACAGTTTGGACTGGGAGAGACCTTTAAAGGTCATCTAATCCAGCCATCCTGCAATGAGCAGGCACATCTTCAACTAGATCAGGTTGCTCAGCCTGACCTTGAATGTTTCCAGTGATGGGGCATCTACCACCTCTCTGGATTGTGCCAGTGTTTCAATACCCTCATCATAAAAAATTCCTTCCTTATATCTTGTCTGAATCTACCCTCTTTTAGTTTCAAGACACTACTCCTTGTCACAACACTACAGGCCCTACTAAAAAACTTTGTCTCCATCTGTCTTACAAGTCCCCTAGAAGAGAAATACTGGCTGGGAAGTCATGGGTCATGGAAACTGGCCTGTCTCACCCAAGCAACCTGCAGGGATAGGATGGAAGGGTTTATAGAACCTCTCTTCCCATAACACAAGCCACAAAGGCATAGCCCAGCTTCCTCTTGTAAATGTAAGACTTCTGTTGAAGAAGAGACAGAGGCAGAAGTTTCTGGAGGAAGTAAGCAGGTGAGATTGCTTTCGGGGATGGGAAAAATAATACCTCTTTGTGCAGCTGCTGAATTGAGCTGGGGTTTTTGCTCAGGGTATCTCCTGGTGATCCCTTGCTGGAGCTGCAGGAGGATAAGTCTTGGCACTGTTCATAAGGCAGTGCTTGTAATGACTTGCATTTCTATTGCACCTTTCAAGCAGAAAATATTCCCAAGTGTTTTTCATGGATCTGATTGCACAAGAATTGGCTGTGTCAAAGGGTGGAATGCAGCTGTTTAATAATCCGTGGTGATGCCATGTGAGATTTGGGGAAGATTTTTGGGGCTTTATGAAAAGAGGAACCCCAGGAAATAAGTAATATGTACACAAGAAGTCCTCCTAAAACAGTCTTCTTGTGGCTTCTCCATCACAGATGTGCATGTCTAGGAACTGCCAGATAGTGCAGGGACAAACTGGACAGGAGGGTCTGCTCATCTCTCAGTATTTAAGGGTCTCTGTTCTGCTCTTCCTTATGCCTCTTTTGATTTATTCTCTCTTCTTCAGTTGGACAAAGGAACGCCGTGTCCTGCTGGTGATGTCCAAAGCTAAGAAGAAGTGGGTGTCAGTCCGACCACTGCCTTCCATCCGTAATTTCCCACAGCAATATGATGTAAGTCCCATGCCTGGCACAGCCAGGTGCCACATCCCTCTCCCTTCCACCACGGTGCAGTGCTTTGAGGGCTGCTCCCTTGAAGACCTGTCAGGGGGGCAAGCACATGCTGGCTGAGATGGGAGGTAAGGCCAGACTGATGGCCAGCAAAAAGATGGAGCAGAAGAAGGAGCAGCACCCATTTAAATCACTCTACACACAAATGTGAGTTTCCAGTGCTGCTAAGGTGTAACAAGAACTGTTAAAGAATCTCTGCTGGCACAGGGTTGGGGAATGAAATTTAAGACTCCCCTTAGGTCAGCGTTTCTCAATGTGGGTGAGAGGCGAGATGCTTAGGAGAAGCCTATCCCTTCCTTCACTGTGACTGTGCTGCTTTGGATTATGAAACTTGCTCACAATGGGTTTTGAAAGCAAAACTAAGATCTCAGCTAAAAACCATGTGCTGCGAGGAAAATTACAGATATCCAGCCTCCAACACCAGGCCCAAATGTAGTGATAGAGAGTTTCTTTCTCCCTCTCCTTTTCTTTTTCCCTGAAAGGAGAAAACTCCTTCCCCTACCCTATGGTAGGTCCTGCTTTTTGTGCCAGGACGGGGAAAGGAGATGATTAGTAAATAGGATGTTTAGAAAGCATCTCATTTTCTCTGGCAATGATGTTGTTGGTAGCTGTGTGTGCACCACTGTGGTCTAAGGAATCTCTGAGACCTCTCTTCACCCACTCAGGGATGTCTGGAGAATGAGTCACCTTTGGGGACCAGCAGCTTGATCACCAGCAGACATTATTGGGTCAATCCAGAATTCTCCCTGCTGTTGCCCTGTACCTGCTCCCAGTCACCTATGGAAATGGCAACAGCTGGTGAACTGACTGTATGTTTATGTCATCAGGAGACTGAGGGGAAGAATCATGAGTTAATGATATATAAAGTGTCCTGTTTGCAACCTCTCCTGTGCAATTTAATGTCCCAGCTGGTTATCAAACCCACTTTCCCCTCTAGCAAGGACTGATTGTAGAGATGCTAAATTTTTCTCTCTGTCTTTTAACAGTTGTGTATCCATGCACAGAATGGCAGGAAATGCCAGTATGTAGGCAACTGCTCTTTTGCCCACAGCCCTGAGGAGAGAGACATGTGGACCTTCATGAAGGAAAATAAAAGTGAGTGGGCGAAATGTGAGCCAAAGAGTTTGGGGAGAGGGAAGAAGTCATTTGGGCATCTGGAGGGTCTGTTAAGACAAATTCTTGACAACAGAGATGGAGCTGGACAAGGCTGCTGCCTTGAGTTTAAGTGGGATTATGGGTCAGGTCTGTCTACAGCTGCTCTTTTCTTAAATGTGCATGTATCTCTTGAGCCCCTTGCTGTGGGACTGGTGCACAATAGTTTTATGTCTTACATTGCTTCACTGCTGCCCTCTCTTTCTGCATCACTTTTGAATCCACCCTCTCCTGCCCCTACAGTTGCCTGTAATGTCCCAGGCTTGGTTCTGTGTGGAGCTCTGCCAAAGCACCAGTCCTGGCCTGTAGCTGCTTCTGTATCTTTCTTGTCTGTCTTCTATCTGCCTTGGCTATCTTACTAATATCTGCTCATATCTTTTGGTCCTGGGCTGTGGCACTCCCTGCTCATGGCATTGTATTCAAAGGGGTGGAGTTAAGATTCTGAATGAGAACATCGTTGGGTGGTGCCCTTGTGGAGGAACTTATCTGTACTTAATTCTGCGGGCTTATGTTTTGGGCAATAGTTGGGGGGCTGCCCATATCCTGGACAGAAATCCTTGTTTATTCAGATCAACAGGAAGCTGGGGAAAAAAGGGCCAGTTGTCCAGGTGCTCACCTACCTCAGTTGGAGCTGCTGGAAAGCCTGAAGGATTTCAGGCCTGCCCTGAGTTTTTTTGATTCATATGGTTCTGTGGAGGGTCTTTCTCTCTGCTGAGCCAAACTGTTATTTGTTGTAGTTGAAAGCATATCATTGCTGGGGCCTTTAAATCACATCATACCTATCTGGGTGTGTTAGCTCAAGCACAAAGGTGAATCTTCAAAGGACAGTGTGATCTCAGTTTGGAGGAATTTGCATTCATTATCCCCAGTTGCCTCAAGATCCTCAATTACCCATTTAGCAAGGAGTAAATCACTAATGCATCACACTTAGAGCATCATATTGATGTCTGCAAACATTTATGTTTCCATAGCTTCTCTCAGGAGCTGATCTTGCAGCAGGTGTCTAGTTAAAGCTTCCACCTCAATTTTGCCTTCCCAGGAGTATGCTGAGTGACTTTTAAATCAAACACCATGTGATACATTTCAGTTCTCTGGGCAGGTTTTGAACTTGGAGCAAGCTATCATTAGGTCTTCCTCCCCTCTGCAGTGCCTCCTGTGGCCAGCTTGCTTAGGGGCTCTCCTCCCTCTCTAGTGCTGAGGGCGAAGCTTGGGCTTAGAGGGAAGAGATGGATCTGAAATCAGGCCTGTTGGAGAATTATCTTGTGGGGTGATCCAAGGAGATCTTGCGGCACTTTGCCACCTTTCTGAAAAGTTTGTGTGGCTGTTGTCACAGTTGCCCCTTGACTGATAGAAGACACCCCCCATGCCAGGTGGTGTGGTGTGAATTTGGCTCCTCTCCCCAGGGATCTTATCTGAGGAGGTGACAGGGGGCACAGGCCTTCAGTCTGGTGCTGCTGCACATGCAAGGGGAGGGAAGGGCTTCCCCCACATTTGTCCTTTTCTCATAGCTTGTGCACTGTGTGGGAGGTTGTCTGAGTGGCTTCATGTGTCGCCTTTGTGCAGTACTAGATATGCAGCAGACCTATGACATGTGGCTAAAGAAACACAATCCTGGGAAGCCTGGAGAGGGAACACCACTCACCTCGCGAGAAGGGGAGAAACAGATCCAGATGCCCACTGACTATGCGGACATCATGGTAATAAGCTGATCTCTTGTCCCTCATTCTTCCTCCTCCTCCTCCTTCTCCTCAGTGCTGCCAGCCTGCCTCTCTCCCGTGTTCCAGGTGTGGCTTGCAGGGACTGCATTCTTCTAGTGGAATAGAACCTGTATTAACGTAGGTTAAATGGACAGCTTGGAGCAGCACAGTAGGGGAAGCATAGCTGAAGTGGGAAGAGATCGACCTGGGGTCAGCAGGGCTCTACAATGGCTTTTCTGTTAATCCTCACTCATTAGAGTCTACCTTAGGTTCCCTTTTGCGTGGGCTCAGCCTCTCTCCAGGCCTCCTGCCTGCTCCTGGGCAAGTTGGCAAAACCACTGCAGGCCTGTCAGAAGAGGGAGAAGCTTGGAGAAGGGCTGGCACAGAAGCCTTGGAAAACTAGAGGCAAATGTGTCTCCTTATGCCACAGGTGGTACTGGTGTAAGGTTCTGTGCTGCTGAAGAGTTCTGCATTGCCTGTGAACCCAGGTACCTTGTGGTGAGACCCCACTGGGGCCATCAGCAGGGGCAGGGGGACCATTTCAATAAACTGAGCTGCCCAGTTCCCTAAGCCTGTTGGAGCCATAGATAAACTGTGACAGAGCATTTCCTCTGTTTCCCTTTAGTGTCAGCACAATTCCCTAAAGATGATATGGCAGAGAAGAGTGGGTCAGTCATAGACTGAGTGGAGCTTCCAGGATGCTCTGGAAGGAGAGGGGAAGAGGCCAGCACAGGGAAGGCCAATTGATATGAATGTCATTGCACTGACTGGCCCTTTTCCCTGTCTGCACCGGTTAGATGGGCTACCACTGCTGGCTCTGTGGGAAAAACAGCAACAGCAAGAAGCAATGGCAGCAGCACATCCAGTCAGAGAAGCACAAGGAGAAGGTCTTCACCTCAGACAGTGACTCCAGCTGCTGGAGCTACCGTTTCCCCATGGGCGAATTCCGGCTCTGCGAGAGGTACCACTGTCTCATCTCCCTCCTGTGCCACTGCTGCAGGGATGGGGTAACAGGCCCAGGGCCTCTGTCATCCCCCCTCGTCCTCTCTCAGAGTTCTCGGAGACTTCTGCGTGGAGGAGGAGTGGGATGAGATGACAGGTTTGGGTGACAGTGAGGCTGTCTTGGATCACAGAGGTGCTCAGCCACAATACTGTGGGGTAAAAATACTGAGCATGTGTCTTTAGAAAAGGAGAGCTTCCTGTCTGCACCTGTGCCCTTCATAGCCAGGACGCTTTCAGCTCCCAGGCTGCTGAACAGTCTCCTCGACCCAGTGCTTGGGGGAATCCCAGGTGCCTTATTAAATGGTTTGAATGTCTAACGCACTCTGAATCAGCACATTAAGGTGCCTTCAGAAAGCTTGTGATGGTTAAAAATGCCGCTTTGGTTAGCAAAAAGATTCTTGTCTTTCATGCTGGTTACCTGGCATTTCCTCTGTTGTGCATTGGTTTTCTCCCATCCCTGCTGGTCCAGTTCCAGCTCACATTTTTTTGTGCTCTTGACTAAATCCCCTTGTAGCCACTACTCTTTTCGCTGCTCTGGTTTTTTCCCAGCCTTGATGTCTTTCCCACTTGCACACGGGTTTGTAGGAGAATCAGCTCACCCTTAAAAAGGAGAGTTCACAGCATGTTTCAGTGAGTCCTGATCAAGTATCCCAGACAGGGAGCTCAAACCCCTGTACTGGGGTGCCCACCTGACTGTGCTCCTTGTGCTGGCAGGTTCCAGAAGAACAAGACCTGTCCTGAGGGAGAGGAGTGTCGCTATGCCCATGGGCAGGATGAGCTGACAGAGTGGCTAGACCGGAGGGAAGTGCTGAAACAGAAATTGGCCAAAGCTCGCAAGGACATGCTGCTCTGCCCCAGGGATGACGACTTCGGGAAATACAACTTCCTATTGCGGGATGACGTATAGTATGAGCTGGGAGGAGTCTGTCAGCAGCAGAAACACGGGGTGGGTTTTCCGAGTGTCAGTAGCAGGGAGAGCGAGATCTCTGTCTCGCAAAGAGAACTTTTTCTTTCCTTTTGTTTTAAGATTATGAGATGATGATTTATTAGTGAATGAATTTGTGAATTTGATTCTCGTTGGCCAGCGACGCCATGCTCACTGAGTTTGTGATCCAACTTTTCTCTCTTCTTTCCCCCAAATTCTCCTTCCACTTCATCTTTTTGTTTTTACTGTCCTTCGTTCAAAGGAATTAATTCAGTCTATACTGGGCTGCAAATCGGAGAATTTCTCCTTGTGTCATTCTTCTGTCTTTCAATTCAGAGTATGACTGCAGAGGTGTGGAGGACAAAGCTGAGAGAGAGGGACAAAAAGTGGATGCCCCATCCCTAGAACTGTTCAAGGACAGGTTAGATAGAGCTCTGAACAATGTGGCCTAGTGGAACATTTAGAAGGTGTCCTTCTAAATGACAGGAGGATTGAAACTAGATGATCTTAAGGTCCCTTCCAGCCCAGGCCATTCTATGATTTTATGAAATCTGGTGAATAGGTGACCATGAATTTCATATGTTCCTTTCCTCAGTACTGCAGACTAAGCCCCACTTACTCTGCTGCAGCCTTCCTGTTCTTCTGGGAGTTTGGTACCAGAAGAAATGGGAATTGTGGTGCAAAGAAGGAAAACCACTAGATTTAGCTTGAAACATCTAGGCTTATGCTCCAGCTGTCTATATTGCCCTGAGACATCAGCTGTTGGTGAGGAGGATAACAGCTGCGTGGTATAAGGAGTGCAAAGTAAACACAGCAAAGTAATGAAACTGCTTGCAGCAACGGGAACTGGGTTGTAGGTGACTTCAAACTCCAGCTGTGTTCAGAAAACAAGTTGGTGACTTCTCATTAGATGTCTTTTTCAGTGTGTGGCTGGTATTCAGGGCAGATAGTTTGGGTTTGGTTTTTTGGCTGGTGTGATTGGTGCAAGTAAAACAGAACCCATCTAGTATGTGTAGTGGAGTTTGTGACACAGTGCATGTCACTGAAGTCCACACAACAGTATCAGTCAGGAGGGAGGTGGTCACGAAAAGGAGCCTGTGTTTCTGTGTTGCTTTGTGTCCTGAAGAGAGGGAGGGAGGTAATGGTGTTCTTTCTTGCTCTTTAAATGGCATGTGTTTCTTTTTACTTAGAGCTGCATTTTTCCCTGCACTGCCAGAAGAACTGGGTGGGGACCCATTTAAAAGGACACCATTGCGCAGCATGGGCAATGTTTAGCTAATGAGAATCCAGCTGGAAGCACTTACCAGTACCAGAGGTCCAGCCCCCTCCTCGTCAGAGCCAGGGCAGTGAGCACAGTGCAACCAGGATGTGACCCAGAGCAGGGACAGTGGTGGAGAGCAGTGGCCTGTGTCTGTGCTGCCTGATGTGTGCTTTGATGAGGCAACCAGTAATGCTGAACTCTGGGACAGGAGTTTTGCTTTTATAAGTGGCAGCAGTGAGAAGCAGTACTGCTCTGAATGCCAGCTTTGTCCTTTCTGGCAGTCTCATCCTGTAAGCAGTAAACGTGTCCCCTGACCTGAGCTTCCCTCTCCATCTCTCCTGCAGTCCAGCTGTGCTCTGCAGTTTTGCATGCATGGATGGCACCATCCACTCAAACACAAACACATCTCCCTCCCAGCCTTTGTCAGGGATGTCTTTTTCATACAGAGTCTCCCAGGACAGCAGTCTCAGAGCCCTTGGGGCTGGTAGGGCTGTATCCATGGTAAATACAATATGGCCATGAACTCTTGGTGCTTTGGCATTGCTGCATCCTCCCATTCCTCTCTGCTCCCATATCCTTGGGGCTCAGAGCTTCAGGAGAGATGGGATGTGAAAATCAGGAGATGTGGAGATGTGGAGATGGTGTGGGACAGCTGTCACCTTTCTAAACCAGCCTTCAGGAAGGTGCTTCAGTTCCACTGGGATAGTTAGGGTCCAGTTATGGAGCAGAGGGCACTGGATTCTGGTCTGGAATCTTTCCAGAGACATGGTGTGCTCTAAGTAAACTGAAAGCGCCTCTGCACTTAGAATCATTAAGTTTAAAAAGACCTCAAAGATCATCAAGCCCAACTGTTAACCTGGCACTGCCAAGTCCCAGACTAAACCATGTCCCAAAGTGCCACATCTACATGTATTTTTAAATACCTCTGGGGATGTTGACTCAGCCTCTTTCCTGGGCAACTTAACCACTTTTCTGCTGAGCTTTTTTCCTCTCCTTTGAAATATGGACAGTAGTCTCTGGTTTGCTGTGAGCAATATCAGACATGGCAGTTTCTGAGTGGTCAGGTGCTGTATTTTCTCCTTTGTTCTTTGTGGTAGCTATGGTACCTTCTGATCATCCTTGTGCTCAAGCAGTCAACTTCAGAGGTGGGAGGAGACAGGCATCAGCTCCTGGGTAATCTTGTTCTGCTCTTCTTGGGCAGAGACGCCAAGGAAGGAAATCTGGATTGGGGAACACTGGAATGTGTTTTTTATTTTTAAAACAAACCTGCATCTCTAGTGTGACTCTAGCGTTCGCTGAGCCATGATTTCTCATGCAATGAATGACTTGTGTAGGTTATAGAGTGGGTTACTGTCCCCTGTCCCCCTCTCTGCAATGAGAGCTGAGCTTCTCAGTGGGGCTTCAGAGGTTCAGGCTGGGGCTGAGGTGGGGAGAGGGTGAGAGTGAGATGAGGTGAGGTAGGCCCATGGTCATGGGGGTTGCATCAAGTGTCTCTTTGTTTTACCTGATATGATAACCTGGTCTGTGGTGTTGCAGTACTTCGTCACCAGACTTGTTTTAGTGTGTATATATGTGACCCCTCCCATGAAGCATATATACACAGGTATTAAATATATCGCTCTATATAATATTATATGTGTGTGGTATCGAAGGAATCTTTTAAATGATGGTAAAGGAAAAGGACTCAGGCCAGAAAATGCAGCATCTCCAGTTTAAATATGAAGCCTTTTATTTGGGATAGGGAAAGGGAAATAATAAAAGAGGGGAGGGTTTTGTATAGATAGGTATAAACTCTGAGATGGGACAGGTTTCTCTGTTCATATTTTTGAAACCCTTTAGGATGCCCTTGCAGTTCCACCTCAGTGAGAGAGTATTATACTGCTAACTAGTGAGTAAAGTTTTAATATAAGGCTTTGCTTATATTATTTAAAGGGACACTGTGAAAGGCAGGAAGTTTCACACTGACTTCCCTGGCTTGCTTTATCAAACCAAGAGGGTTTTCTTCAGCATATTATGTGCTCTCAGCAGAAATGCTCAGTGCTCGCAGTTCTACATCAGATAAATCACAAGTTGTAGGGGCTGCTTCAGTGGTGGGTTCACAAGACCCTGTGATAACTCTCTCTTCTTTATTTGTGTAAGAGAAGAAGAAGGAAATTCTGCAGCACAGAACCAAATTTGAGGGTTATTAACAAAGAAAGTGATGTTTTAATTTTATAACATTAGAAGAAAATCTCATATCCTGTAAAATAACTACAGACATTCATACAGAACAGAAATTTATTAAATGCTGAAGGGCTTAGTGAAAATCTTTTCCCAAATTCTTTGGTAGGGGCAGGAATTTAGGTGACACCGACATTGGAGTTAACCTGGCCTTTACAGGGAGAAGTAAAAAATAATGATAATAAAAAAACAAACAAAAAAACCCAAAAATTACCCTACTTAGCTTGTAGGAAAACTGTATGTCAAAAATGGATGGGTTTTAGCAAGTGAAAGGAAAAGATTGCAAGGGGATGCTGCAGTTCTGAGCTGGGTAGTAATGATTTTGAGTCCTTTAATATGTCTTTGTATTAATATAATTTAAGAATACCACGCTTTACTATTAAAAAAGAACTTAGTATCTTTCATAAGGTCTAGTATCAGGATAATTATGTAGATGTTTTAACAACATTTTTGTTTTTGTTCTTAAATAAAGAAAGAAAAACCAAACTTGCTTATTTTAGCCTTTGTAATAGAAAATAAAAGTGTGCACTTTAAACCCTCTCCTGATACAAGTGTGTTTGTGTTTTCAAATAACCTGAAAAGGATTTTATCTTGCTTTTGGATTTCCCTGCTGTGAGGAGGGAAGCAAAGGGAGCACGTCAAGCGTTGGACCACTGTGGCTTTCTCCCATCTTTAAGTATAATCAGCAGCTCTTCTTGCTGAGTGGAAAATGGTCTATATGTGTATCAACAGCTGATGGAGTTCTTCGTCAGACACACAGTTCTTGTGACCTTTAGGTGTATTTAAGATGTTTTTCTTTCCCTTGAGTGCCAAGAATCCATGTGCTCTGAATTAACACATAGTTTCAAGGTGTTTGGGTAACCCGTGTTTTGAAAGCTCCAGTAATCGAGTCTTGTAAACACCTTCATCTAGAGATTCTTCTGTGTAGGCTGCTCTGTTCAACTGGGTTGGCCAGTTCTTTTGCCTGGCAGTGTGCACCCTGCTAGGGAACATGTCCTTAGCCCTACCCACCGAGTCGCACACAGCTTGGGCTGTGCGAAGCATCTGTGCACTTGCTTTCCTCCTGGAGAGGATGCTATGTAAGGAAACTGCATTGGGGGAAGAGGTCAGTGTGAAAACATTTATTAATAAACCCAGCTTCTTTATTTTTGGAATCCATCATGATGCAGATTAACCCACATTCTTGGTAAAATCAAAACTGGAGATGCGGTGAAGATAGGGGGGTCCCAGGGATAAGCCCTGTTACTGCTGTATAAACTGGTAGTGACCAGAAGGTCATATCTAGTGAGGCCTGAAGAGACAGGATTTGTCAAACATCTCCTTTATGTGCCTTCATACAGACATAAGAACTCATGTCCTTCTGGTCAAAGAAGAGGCCTGAACACATTCTTATAGGGCATGGGGAATGAGGAGCCGTGTGCAGTTCCAAGGTGCATCGGTTGAATACGTAAAATGTGAGAGACATTAGTTTTACATTCCAAAGATTGTTGAGGCCATGCTGGCAAGAGTTGAGGGTAGCTTTTCCAGTACAACTGAAACCAAAATTGTCAAATTGTGAGACAGACAAAGCATCAGGGGAAAAACACCTATTTTCCTTGCAGGTTTGAGCCTCAGCTGTAAACTGGAAGAAAAGGAGTGTTGATTTCAGTAATCAGATCTTCCTAGGAACTTCAGCAGATACAAAGACAAGGCAGAGAGAGAGACCCAGGTCAGCCAGGAAAAATCCAGGCTCTATGGAAGATTGAGAGGAGCAGGGTAGAAACCCCTGAAAGGTGGGAGAAAGGCTTCATATTGAATATGGTTAATGCCATCACACAGCAGCCTGGCAGAGGGAGTTTGCTGCAGATGAGAATCAAAAGCAATCCTGTAAGTGAGTCTGCCCACCACACTATAGAGAAACATATCTGGGCAGTGACAGCAGATGATATAAATGCTGTCATCCTCATTGTGTTTGCTGCTGTAATTGCACCCAGGAATAAGGGTCATGCTGTGTTGTGTCCTGTGCACATGCATGAGCTGGGGAGGTGTGTTGGTCACTGGCTGGGCACAGAGGATGTAACCATGTAGGGCAGCTGGGGGGAAAAACTGGGGCAGAAAGCAACAAGCTAAACAGTAAAAGAGGCCTGGATGGGAGTGACTGGTTGGAGGGAAGTGGAGGAGGAAAGGCTGTGGGCACGCCAGCTGAAGCACACAGCTGTTTGATATGTGGTGGAGGAAGGCACTGAGCAGACTTGGTTGGGTGCTATGGGATGGCTTTGGGTAGAGGTCCTGTGGACACACAGCTCTTGAGGCTTCCTGGAAAGCTGCAGCTCTGGTCTGGAGCTGAGCCATGTCTCATTCAGCTTCATTCTTTTCTCTCCAGGATGGGAGTGGACAGGACAGGATCCATCCATTCCACGTAACCCCTCTCCCTTTCCAGATTGATTCTCACCTCCTGTTTCTCTGCGGTTCACCCTCCAGACAAGAGCAGTGTGTCCTGGTGCTGCTGGGACAAGAGTGGTGTTACCTGAAAACAGATCCAGGTGCAGCAAAGACAAGAGCAAGGACCAAACCAGATGACAGCTCCAGTTGACTCATTTCCCACTGCAACAGTCCTGTCCCTGGCAGCTCCCAGGATTGCCCCTTTCAGGGATGCTTGTCTCTTCAGTTTATCTTATGTCTGTGCCCCAGAAAACTAGCCTTAGGAAAGCCGAGAAAGCCTTAGGAGCCAGAGACATAGCAGAGACCCAGTAAATAGGGTCATGCATAACCATCTGGATTAATCCTCAAAAAAATGACATTTACCCAGGGGTGGGATGGAAGTCTCTAAACTTAGATGCCAGAGTAGATTTGCTTACTTTGAACTGGAAAAACACTTGGCTCTGGAGGTGCTCTTTGGTGTATTTCCTTTGTTCTCAGTGGATTTCCTACATCTGCCTTAGCTGGGGGCTACCAATAGCACTGCAGCCCTCCAGGCAGATGGTTGACAAGGATGAAGAGCTGCATAGTTTTGCTAATCAAATACCAAGGCACACGCCCCCATGTGTACCCCAGCAAAGCTCTGAGACAGAGAGGGAAAGTCCTGCTTCCATGGGACTGAGATGGCCTCAGTTCTCCTCAGCAAAATTGCTTGAGAATAACTGCAACACAGCTGGGCATTGCCCCTGGGAGCTGTGGTGGGGATTCAATACAGCGGCAGTGTTTCAAAAGAAGCTCTAGGCAGTCTGGAGCTTCTCCTTTCAAGACCATTCATGTCTTGGCTTTGGGGTATCAGTAGCAGCCAAACTATCCAAGCTTTTTTAAGGGTCATTTGTTTTCTTTCAGCCCACATGCCTTCCCCAGGCTCAGCTGACTCCTGTATCTTTCCATCAAGCTCAGACCTCTTGTGCTGCAGGATTCCTGCTCTTGCTGGGGACCATGTTGTTCTTAGCAGGTGTGAGTAGGAAGAGATGGCTGACAGACAGCTCAGGTCCTTACAGACAGCCTTGGTTGTGAGAGGGAAGCAGCCACAGGAATGTGTCTCTTGCTGTCCCACCCAATGATCTCCTGTGGCCCAACATCACTGGCCTTGGATTTCCCCATCCTGCTTTCAGCCCCCTGGTTTATTGCTGTTCTTGGCACCTCCTGGACTCTGCCTCCTGGCAAGGCTTGTTCCAAGAGCTCCCAAAGCTGTCTCTGTCCAGGCTGCCAGAGTGTTTTCAGAGCAGGGAAATGCAAAAAAGCAGCTCTAGGTGTCCTTCCTGCCCAGGACAGTACAACTTCTGGTGACCCCAAGACCCTTTTTCACGTTTTCTCCCTGCCCAGCACCTAGTTCTCTGGCAAATGGCCCCTCACAAGGGAAGGCCACGTGCAGAGAAGCAGAGCTGTGGTGAGCCCAGCTGCCATGTGAGCACCCACAAAGGGGGAGATGTCTTGGCGGGGGTGGTGGGGAAGCAAAGCTCATTAACTTTTTGGCACTCATTTTGGGGAATTAGTTTTTAGAAATTCTTTTGCCTCGGGCGGGAGGTGCAGGCACTTCCACTGAAGTTCACTGCTTGGCTGGGAGGTCCCAGCACTGCTCCTCCACACAGGGAGGCAAGCAGGCACATATGTACACATATATAGGCACATGTATGCATGCCATACACTGCCGGAGAAGGAAGCCCTTTCAGAGGTAGGAAGGGAGCTTTGAGGAGTGAGGCCTCATCAAGTCTGCATCTGTGTCACATATTACTACCATCAAAAGTACCCAAAGAGTTGCATGCCCATGTTGCAGGCACCAAACGGATCCAAAGTCCCGCTTTCCATCAGCTGTCCACCCTCCCGTGCTGGCTTCATCACTCCTTCTCTGACCTCCTTTACTTCAAAGTAATCTGCTGTGGATGCTGACACCCCTGTGGTCTGGCCACAGCCTGCCATGCTGCTGTCATTCTGGGTATCCCTGCAGCTCCATGGAGGTCTGTTAGCACTAGCAGCATCTCAACTTAGAAAAAGACAAGTTTCTGGGATGTGGTGCAAGTGTCCTTTCAAAATAGCCATGGTGAAACTCAGTCTGCAGGCCTCTGCCAAGGTGAGAAAAATTCCCTGCCAAGCCCAGTGCACCATACAAGTAAATAGTTAAGTCTGGAAGCTGTAAGGGGAATGTACAATTGTCCTAAGAACTAGCAGATAAACAAAAAATTGGACGGATGTCTGTAAAGAGGCAGTGATTGACCTCTGTCAAACGCTTTGCTTGGATAAAAGAAAGAGGAAACTACTTACCAAGCTGGGTTTGGTGTGAGAATCAAACCCTGCGAGTGGGCCTGGAGCCTCCACACAGACTTTGAGGAGTAGGCTTGATTTGTGGGATGTGCAACAGTAAAGTCTCATGTGAGGAGGTACAGAAATTTCCAAATAATGGCTGTGCTGCCAGTGTGAATGGTCTTGGGTGACTGAAAGAAATGGAGAAAAAAAGGAAAATACTCTTGCTTCATGAACAGCAGATTCTGCAAATCTTATAGAGGCTTCTACACATTTTTATCCTTTCTCCCAGATTCACTTCAGGGGAGTGTCATCTTGTATGTCACCACAAAGGCCCTTCAGTACAGCTGGTTTCTGCCTGTCCTTTGTCACTGCCAATGGGCCCCCAATCATACAGAATACATAACAGCAGGTTTCATCTTTGGGGAAACATTAATTTGACTCTCCTCTTCCTAGCTTATCTTTCAAACAGAATAAGATATTTAAATGTATTTATCCCTTTGCCAAGGTGGGTAGCATGCTCTGAGGGTGGATGGACGGATGGATGGATGGGTGGATGGATGGATGGATGGATGGATGGATGGATACATAATACTGTTGTGAGACAGTATTTTTGTGTCCTTAGAAAATCAGACCAAAAAAATTTATTTTCTAAGAGGAGACATTCCATTAGATTACCAAGCCAAACTTTCACCTTATTGGAGGAAGCTGAGATAACAGCAATTAGTAATAATAATCACTAATGCCTTTCTTAGGTCAAATGTCATTGCTGCTGCTGGATTCCCCATCAGCTGTGCTTTGAGACACACCTGAGAAACAACTGAATTCCCTTTTGCAGTGGTGGCCTCATAAATTGATGATCAGTTAGATGCCGCCACCAAGGACAAGACCCACAGCAATAATCTGCAGGAGTTTCTGACTGAGGAGGCACACAGGCATGCCACTGGCTCTTGTTTTGGGTCTGAGGATGGCTGCAAGACACTGGCAGGAGCAGAAATAGGGGAAAAGCTCTGTGAAAGTGGGCCTGTGGAGGAGTTGAGGGAATACTCCTGGGGCTGAGGGAAAGATGGCAACTTGGAGGCATGCACAGAGAACTCCCTTACCCAGCTCCTTGTAATGAGCAGGTTTGTATCAGAATATATTCTGAATGTGTGAAAAGATTCTTCAGGTTCTCAATCTGCCAGCAAGGCTGTACATATGAGTAACACCTCAGTAGTATTGCTCTACAGTTCACTTTGGGCCCAATGGCACACCTCTCTAGAGAGGTCCCATTAGAGACTGGAATAGAATTAGAGGTTTTAAAAGAGACATTTACATGCTTTGGTACCAGCAGAAGCACCTGAGCACTGCAGGAAGACAAAGGGGTCAGGGGAAGGAAGGTACAAGAATTGGTTGCTTAAAAAAAACCCAATTCTTTCCAAAAAAATTTTAAAAGGAGGGAGAGTAAGGCAAATGTTGAAGTACCCACAATCCTCCCCTCAGGACTGCTGAACACACTCCTTGGGCAAATGTGCCAAGAGGTTCAGCCAGCACAGCTGGGTGGTGTGAGTAGCTGCTGCAAGAGACCTGCAGAAAATACAGAGAAGTTAGCCCTGGCCTCTGCCAGTTAAATTTGTGTTCCTGGAGTTTGGCCTTTTCCATTGCATTAGGTGCCTCTTTTTGTGTGCCATCCACTTAGGGCCAGTATAAGTTGACTATGGCTGGTTGAGTCTATGAGAAAATGTGCTGTTAAGGGCTGGCTGGGCTTCTGAGTGATGCAGCACCTCCACTAAAATAGGATCACAAAAACAATAAAACCACACCTGATCTGACAACAGCCAACATCATTTGTGCAGCCAGCACAAATGATGCAATCTGTGGCCATGCCTGCATCTTTCCAGAGAAAGCATTTCAATTTCTTTCACTAAAGCAGCTCAAATGCTCAGCCCTCCATGGCAGGGACATGGGGGCAAACAGATTGCTTCCCTACTGCTATGACTATACTCCGTAGTATAGTTTCCCATTCCCTGAGGCTTGAAGATAGGGTGGTGTTGATGCGTCCAGCTAATGTTACCCAAGCTCTTCTCATGGGCAGGAGCTCATTGTTCAGGGATTCTGAATCAAGAGGGACACACAGTGTTGGCAGGAGACTTTGTGGACATGGCAAACACCAGATGAGATGAGTATCTTGTCGCTCTCAGATCTCTAGACAAAAACTTAAGAGATTTTCATTACAGGCTAATAATTAAAATTGCTAAGTGACAATTTAGATAATCTTTAAGGTACTTTCCAACCCAAACCATTCCATGATTCTATGATTTTTTTTCTGAATGAATGTATTAATTTTCCAGAGCCATAAATGTCAGCCAGTTGCTGCAGCAGCTACTGTGAAGTTCTTGTGTCCCTCCAGACATGTGGCCAGATGTTTGTTCAGCTTTCATAAGAACTTTGAGCCTAGGACAAAACCAGGGGGTCTAGCTGCACCTGACACTGGACAGCTACCATGCTCCCAGTCACTTTCCCTTGCCAGCCTGTGATAAGAAGCAAAACTAGGCATATATGACAGTAGTTGTCCCAAACATCAATGATGCCTTGCATGACTGAGTGACTCCAGTCTTCCAGAATGGACTGGAAGATTTCAGGAAAGGATATGGATCTCCTGGCTGGCAGGCTGTGCTCCAGGAAGGAGAGATGTGATCATGTCTCTTGCTCACAGGAGCCAGAATGCACTGACCATCTGCAGACTCAGCTGGCCCCAGCTTTGGGTGGATGGAGAACACTGTAACAGCCCAGGTTAGTATGGGACTGTTCCCTGAATGGCTTCATCACGGATGGTTATTACTGGCTCAGAATCTGAAGAGGTTGTATCATAATTACAAATTCTACCAAAACAACTGTTGTGTGATTTCTGAGCCTGATTAGATTGGGATCTAGATCATGAGGCTTCTCCTGCTAAACTGAAATTCTCAACCACCCAGCCTGGCTAGGTAATTTTTTCATTTTGGTTTCTACTGGGTTAAATCAAATGCATTTCCTTACGGAACCAAACACCATGCATGATTTGCTGGGCTGTGTCCAATTGCTGTGGCTCAAGATATTCCTACAGACCAGTGTAGGAATACCTGGTTTCTACCTACTCACACGGGCACTGTAAGGCTGAGACTGGCAAAACGGACAGGAACAAACTGAGAAATAAAGGCACTTCTGTTGAAACACCACACTCAACAAAAGAAAAGACCACAGCACATGTAAAATGCTACTTCCCACACCAGGTTCTGAAAAGAGGATCAGACCTTTATCCTCCTATCTCCAGTCCTTTTCTCCATGCTAAAAATTTCACTGACAGGAGAGGAGGGGCTTTGTGTGCTCAAGATCTTACTTAACCAGTTGTTACCAGGGTATTTACAGGGTTCATGAACTCTCTTCCTGTACATCACTGCTCTGAGAAGAGGCTGTTTGCTTTCTCATAAAATTCTGTGCCACTTAAGATGAAAAATCATATATTTTGGGGATAATGCACACTTTATAAGAAAGAAACCTTGTGCTATTATCATTAACTTAGGAGGGACACACAGTAATTGTTGCATCACATACAAATAACGTCAAATAACAAAATGACAAATAACTTAAAAGTTAGCAGGCAGACGCAGACAGCATGCGTATCTCCCTGTAGCAGCCTGCACAGCTTGGTGCTCCTCAGAGCCTCCCAAGAGCTCGTCAGAGGATCCTTCTCCTGTTGTGTTTGCAGCCAACACGTACCCCTGACAGCGCACACTTGCTTTTTTTCCCCTTCAGATACATGTATTTGTTATAACACCTTGGGAAGGAAAAGGGTGCTGCCTTTGCGAAGTTAGATAACTGGCCCAGTTCTTTGCTGCCGGATTGGCTGGGAGAGGCCCTGTAAAACCACGCTGGCCAGGCGCCCGGCCCAGCCCAGCCCTGCTAGGCTGCAAGCTATTTCCACAATTGGCCACTTCAGAGTGGGAGAGGGGGAGGTGAAGACAGCCAGGGAAGCTGCATCTCCGCCAGGCTGCTTCCCTTCCTCCTTGTTTTTTCTCAGCCAGAGTAGTTTGGCAAACACGCTCCGGGTGCCTCCGAGGCCGTCTCGCAACGCCCAGGAGAGTGGGGTGTAACGTTGGTGGCCAGACACCTGGCCCTCCACTAGCCCTGCTGGCACAGTCCCAGGACAGGACATGTCAAGCTGCAGCACCCCTGGGGGCCCCACTGCCCTGGACTTTCCGGAAGTCCTGAAGTCCCTACTGGAGTATTCCTTGCCCTGGACCAACAAGATGACAGGTAGGATTGAGGAAATATGTACTGGGGGTTCTGTTTTGATTTCTCCTTCCCCTCCTTCAGTTGCAAGGTGAGAAAGGGGCAGATCTTGTTTGCTGCAAGCCCTTCAAGGGTGTGTTTCCCCAAAGTGTCCAAGTCAGACAGGGAGTTCTGGCACTGTGCACGTTGTGCAGCTAGGAGGAAAAACAGCAGCACTAGATTGATTATAAAATCAGTCAAGAGTGCTGAGCTCCTGATCCTTTTAATCTCTGTGCTCAGCTACTTCTTGGAAACCCTCAAAGATTCGTGCATGCAAAAGGCTTGGGCAAAATCTTCATGCTCACATAAAAGCAGCTTCCAGGATTGCCATTCATTGTTGTCCTATGGTTAATAACCACTAAGCCTCCAGACATCGCCTCTTCCCAGACTCAGACTGTCTAGAGAGCCCAGCCTGCATGGGGCAGGCTGACTCTGTGCAAACTTTGTTTGATGCTGCAATTGTTTATCAGTGAAAAGCTGGGGTAGAGAACACAGCAAGTGCTGCATTTTCTTTGCAAGAGCACTTCTGTACTCCTAGGCTTTCTCACTCTTTGCACGGGATCCTAGAAAACAGATGGAAAGGACTCGGGAGGTTATTTAGTTTGGGCTTTTGCTGGGCTGAACATTTTGCTCATGCTGCACTGATGGCTTTGCTAATGCTGGGTCTGCTCCAAGCACCCATCACGAAACTTGAGTACTGTCTGGTTTTGGATAGGATGCTACACACCCTTGACAAGCTGCTTTTTGGTTGTTGTGTTTTAAAGTTTGCTGCTGAGGGCTGGGGAGCTGTGTGGAAACACCTCAGCTCAACAAGCCTATGTCTGGGCATGAGTGAGTTGAGCTCACAGCAACAAACATGCACAGACCTCGTTCTTCTCTAGGGAGTTGCTACCAGGACATCTAGGCAGCTTTGAAGTGTTGAGGGGCAGCAGGAAAGCCAGACACACAGTGTGAAGAGGGACCCTGCTCTCACTCTAGGGTCAGTGGGAGAAAAGGCTGCTGCTGTGGCAGTAAAGCGTTCATGCCAGGAAAGGCAGCTCCCTACACCTGCTATAATACAGTGAGCCCTATGGCTCATGCATAGCTCCCTGTGGGAAAGGGAAATAGGCAAGGGGAGCTGTCCCATCCCTAAGGGGTTCATTTTGTCACATTGCTCTGCTGCTGCCTCCTGTGAGCTGTCTCTCTTCTTTGATGAGACTGCCCACTAACAGGTGTGTTTAAATACCACACCATATGAAGTCCCACTGTTTGTGTGGACCAGGGCATGTTTTCCCAGCTGACAGTACCCAGGTAGAAAGTGGAACTCTCAGGGAGGAATCAGCAGCAGCCAAGGGCAGCTCATGTGGTGCAGAGCCTTGCTGTGGCTAAGCTGAGTTTGGCTCCTTTTCTTGGATCTCTGCTCTCCAACAGCCAAGTGGATTCAACTAATCCAAGGGAGGAGTGTTGGCAAAACCTATCTGTTTAGAGTAGGGGGTAGAGATCAATGATTCAAAAAGAGAATAATTTAGTCTTAACTCAGTGTGACTTGTTTGGCAGCTGAGAGTGCTGTTTTGTGGCAGCTTTCTTCCTCAGCTCCAGGACCACCCTGCCTCTCTGCATCACTTCCCGTAGTCCTCAGAAATGTCTTTATTATGCTGCCTCCCTCTCCAGACCAGCATTCCCATCATGGCCCTCTTCCCACAGAGCTCAGTTCTGTCCTCCTGGGTCTCCATACTTGGACAGCGCTCATCTGAATTTGCTAACTCTCAGGCCTCTCTCTGAAATTCTCTATTCTGCTATTCAAACCTCCCACTGGGGCTTGCTATACACATCTCCCCCTCACACCCTGTGCCCAGCAGTGAGCTGCTTGTTGCTCATTTCCCTCCCTGCTGTACCCCAGAATGGGGCTGCTCTTTATCATCTGGCCCTGACAAGATGCCCAGCAGTAGCAGCCAAGGCTGCTGCATTCCTCTCCTCACATCTCATTGTCCTCCACTTTTCCTTCTCAGCTGTATAGTGAGAGCAAATATAAAAATCCCAGGCAGATCCAAACTTAACCAAGAAGGTACAGCTTGTGGTACAGTGCCTGCTTTATGCTGGCAATTGCCTGAGCACCTAATCCCCCAGGCAGTGAAAAAACTCTCAAGGCAGCCTCCTTCCTAGCTGGCAGGGCAGTGCTAATGCTGGAGCAGGGTGATGTGAGACAACCCACAGGAATGTTCCTCAGGAACTCCCTCCCTCCTGCCTTTGGGAAGAGCAGCTAACACTGTATAGTCTAGATCCTCTCCAAGAAAAGTCACAACTTATGGGGGTAAAAAACAAACCTTAGAACAGTAGGGCATAGGTGGAAATGTGCTGAAGGAAGGAAGAACATGGTCAGTCTAAAGGGAAAAGTCCTGGAGTAAAAGCTGCTGAATGGTTTTAATAACCTCCCTTTCTACAAACATTACCCAGCAAAGCAGCTGCCACTGAGCTCTGCAGGGGTGATGTACTCAGACCCTGTTCCTTGAAGGAGTGTTGTACAGTACAGGGGCACAGCATCATCCTTGGGGGCTACCAGCGTTGAAAACAATGGAACAAAGTGACCATGAGAGGCATAACTGAATGGGAAGCCTGCAGCCTGCCCCATTTTGGCTGCATCCACTTGCCTAAAAGCTGCTCCTTTGTGATCTCACTTGGTTGTGTTCTCTATTTACCACCTATCAGTAGCTGTTTCCTAGACAAAAGCACCACTGCGGGCTTGCCACCCCTTGCCAAGCTGTGTGTGCTGCCTCTGTTGTGTGTGGTCTGACATCTGTGTCTCATTACCCTCTGTGAAGTGGCATTTCCCTTTCACACATGTGCCTTTTTTTCCTGCCAGCTGAGTTTGGCAAGGCGGACGGAGTCTGTGGAGGGCACGTAGCAGCCCTGGAGCACACTGGGCAGCGGAGCATGACCTGCTCTGCCTGCTTCTTGCAACTGGATTTATCAGCCTTGATAAATGATGCATTAACCTGCGCCGTTCCAGCCTATATTAACAGGGTGTCCTTTTCCAAGCTTCCCGTTGGGCAGCATGTGGACAGGAGTTGCATTGGGAGTCCCACCCGTTCCCGGTGAAGGAAGGAGCAGATTGGGCCTCTCAGCCCACACAAGAGAAGTAGCTGCTGGGTAGGCCAGTTCCACATCTGCCCAGGTTGGGTGGAGATGTCCCCTGGTCCTCACTGCAGTAAGACAATGGAGGAAAACACCCACGCTGTGTCACTTTCCTGTGGGGTGGAGTGGGGAAGAGTTTAGACCTGATTTTTTTTGTCACAAAAACTATAAGGGCTTATTAGTAAGGGTCAAGTAAAATCGTGCCTTGCCAGTTAAATGAAATATCTGAGGTTTATGGCAGGGAGGTTCAACCAAGCAGATGGCCAAGTGCCTACCTGAGAGGAAGATGTCCTTTTTCTGCTGGCATGTATGGGAATGCCTGTGCTCCCACTCCCGCGGCTGTGTTGGAATTGCAGACGGGCCGATCCCAGTGGAGCACACCCTTGCCTTTCCCGGTTCGCTGCAGCCCATCCTGCCGAGGCAAAAGCAGCCACTGCTGACAGGAGAAGCCTGTGGCTGGAGCATCTAACACTTCCGCCAATTTATTCGTTCCGTAGGAGAGGCTCCTCGGTATCCACCTGTGCTTTCGGGAACGAACTTGGCAATATTTGCTCCCTTCGTGTATTCAGAAGCTTAAATCCCAGCATGGCATCCCTGCTGCTAGAGTAAGGGGGCCGCTAGGAGAATCACAAGAATTTCTTGTGATCATGACGGTTTGGAAAGGCGGCCTTCCCTCCCTTCCCCCAGCAGCCCGCCCATGTCAGCACTGCAGTGAAGTCCCTCTCCCTGCCCATGTTATGTAGGGCACGCCGCTGCGGGCATCGTGTGGGACGGAGAGAGATTAAATCCAGGGCACGCGCGAAAGGTGATTTCGCGATCCTAAACGAGGATACGCAAGGGCGGGCTGCGGCGCTGGCGCCGGGACAGGGCGGGGAGGGGGTTCGCAGACGTTGCGCTGCCGGGACGGCCCTCACGGACCCCCGCTCGGCCGCGGCTCCCTCAGGCACTGCCGGGCCTCGGGAACAGGCAGGCGGGCGCGCGCCCCGCTCCTCCGCCGCCCGCCCACCCGCGCGCTGCCTCCCCCGGCTCCTCCGCCCTCCTGACGGTGACGCAGCGCCCGCGGGAGGGGCGGGGCTCCGAATGCTAATGACACCGGCTGAGGGCCCGCCCCTGCACGTGCCCTGGCGGGCGGGGGGCGCGTGCCCGCGCCGGCCGCGGGGAGGGCAAGGCGGGGAAGGCGGGGCCTGCCTCCGCGGGACCACCCCCCCCTCGGAGGGCGCGGGCCAATCCCGGGGCGCGGAGAGGCCGGGCTGGGGCGGGGCCCCGGAGCTCATGAATACTGAAGCACGCGCCGGGCGTCAGCCGGCCGCGCCTGCGCCGTTCGCTCCGCGCTTCGCCGCCGCTGCTGCCGTCGCCGGGTCCCGGGGAGCCGCCGCCGCCGCCGCAGCCCCGCGCCGCCGGTGACCGCTGACAGCCCGCCCGCCCGCGGGGAGTATGCCCGGCCGCGCCGCGCACCAGGAGGCGGCGGCGGCGGCGGGAGGACCAGAGCCCACTGCAGCCGGGGGGAGCGCGGGGACCGCCGCGCAGCAGGAGCGGCGGGGCCTGGCGGGCGCGTTCCCGCTGGTGCTGAAGAAGCTGATGGAGAACCCGCCGCGGGAGGCGCGCCTGGGTGAGCGTGGGGGAGCGCGCGGTGCCCCCCAGTTATCTACCCCCACCGCCCCCTTCCCGCCCCGTGGCTCCGAGGGCGGGACCCGCCGGGTCACGGCGGGACTGGCCGCGGGGGGAGAGGCCGCATGCCCCGGCCCCCTCCCTCCTCCCCGTCCCTCCCTCCCTCCCTCCCTCCGCCTCCCTGGCCGGCCGAGCCAAGAGCCGGCAGCACGGGATCGCTCCCCGCCTCCCAGGGATCGTTCTCCGGAGCGTGTAGGTGCCTGCGC